CTTTCCCCACCAGAAAGGTGACATTCCAGGTACATGTAAGAGCTAGCTTTTGTCGCCGAGGATCAGACCGCCAAGGTCCCTGCCTTTGGCTACCACACATCCCACAATTCACCCGATCCCTTTGGCCCCTCCCATGGGTGGTGAGCTCATGGAAATTTAAACAAAGTTTATTTTCAATAAAGTTTGGCCAGTGTGGTCCATCATTATTTATCTCTGACAGTTTATTTTTAAAGATGTTTTCTAAAGCTGGGCGTACACTGTGCAACTTTTTCACTCGTAGCACTCAGCTTCAGCTCAAACTGTACCACTTCCTCGCAGGGCAGATCTCACGAGTCATGTGCTCACACTGTACGACCCAGTTCTCAGATGCGATCTGACTGCTCACACTGTACGTCTGGTAGCAACACGTCGGTCCTAAAAATATGCTGAAAATAGCAGTTTTCACACAACACGTCACACTTTTTTGTGTTGTTTTGCCTGTTGTCCTTCAGGAGTGCTGCAAGACGACACACAGGGATTTATGGGGGTTGGATGAGGAAAACCAAATAAAGAAAGTAAATCTGTGTTTTGTGATCAGTTTAATTTGACTTGAACACGACAAACACGCTTTCTTGACAATCCTTGTCATTGTGTGTAAAAGACGTCTGGAAATAAAAACGAACAACGTGTGTTATTAGGGAAATAGCGGGCGAGCGATGTTGACGCATGATTACGCATGCGCCATGAGGGGTTCTGGTACTTTTTGGGTCGCAGCCGCTCGCTGCGCTGCTTCAACCCTCACAAGGAACGAGCAAAATATCAAATGATCCAGAAGTCCGTGCGAGCTCACGATTGCTGTAGTGAGCTCGCACGGTAGCTGGTCACGTGGTGTGAATCGCCTCTCTTAACCCCGTGTATACTACACGACACTCAACGCAAAACTCGCCCCGATCTTGTGGATTCTCGCACGAGTGGAAAATCGGCTCAAAAAAGTGAAAAAGTCGTGCAGTGTACGCCCGGCTTAGAAGACTGACAAATTATTTTTCTGAGAAAGGCCTTCCTCAGTGACTCAGCCTGAGCAGAGAGATAACTGTTCTGTGGTTTGTTCCATTCTACAAGCATTTCATCAGATCTTTTGCTAGGTAGGTGATCTGAAGGTTTTAACTCCAGTAGTGATCTTGGTGTTTAAACACAGTAAAGTGTTCAAGTGTTAAAAAGATCTAAACCTGTTAAAGTGGGTCAGAGTTCTCACATTCTGTTCAACATGAGTTCATTTAGACTTTAACATGTCATCCTCCAACATCTTTGGTGTGTTCTTACTGTGTTGCTTTTCTAACTACATTGTTGGTTCTTTTTTAAAACAAAGAAAAGGTTTCTTTTTACCTTGCTTCCTTACATTTTCGTTCACGGCTGCGAACTTCCTCAGAGCTGACGCTGATGGTGGCGTCACTTCCTACTCCGTTTACCCGCGGGCAGCAGAGGACGTTGTTGCACTCTGCTGCCCACTCTCCCCTCTGATATATATAAAGTGATTTTGACTGGAATATGCACAAATAAGAAAAACATGTGACTGTTGCTGTGCTCTGAAGTTAAACCACAAAACCACTACAGATTTTGTAGATCTAATGTCCAGTAGGAGTTTATATCCTGTGATTACTAAGCCAACCAGAGTTACCAGTACCTGTGCTACACTAACTGACAATATTTATACAAATGAAATACATAAGGCAGTTAACAGTGGTCTTTTAATAATTGATATAAGTGGTCACATACCAATATTCATAATACATCATAGTCAAATAACAAAATAACCAAAGAAGTTGAACAGATAAAGCACATTAGAATAAGGTCAGAGGAAGCAACAACAAACTTTTGTAATGAGCTGTTAAAGGAAAACTGGAGTGGGGTTTATGTTAAGGATGTGAACATAGCATTTTAAAAACCTACACAACCCTTTATGATAAGAATTGCCCAATAGTGACATGTAAAAAAAAAAAGAAAAATGTTGATGTAAAACATTGGTTAACTAAGGGACTACTAAAATCCTGTAGGAAAAAAATTATATAGAGATTTTGTCAGACTTCAATCTAAAAGCACAGAAATGAAGTATTAGACTTATAAAAATAAATTGACAACAATAATAAGGCAAGCAAAAAAAAGATTATTATAATTTAAGGTTGAAGGAAAGTAAAGGTGATATGAAAAGAACATGGAGAATCTTGAATAGTGTTGTAAGACCTAGGTCTTTTCACGCCAATTGTCCAGATTACTTTATTAAAGGAGATAACGTTCTGAGGGATGAAAGTGAGGTGGTGAATGAATTTAATTCATTTTTTTGTAAACATAGAGCCAAATCTGGCCAAATCTATGGAAACAAAAATTAAGGAAGGTGTAAAAATGCAAGGAGGGAGTAGCATTCTACAGTCTATTTTTTTGGGAGATGTAAGTGAAAATGAAATATTGACAATAGTAAAGAAAAGTAAAAATAAAACATCTATTGATTGTCATGGGATTGACATGACTATAGTAAAGAAAACAATTGAGTATGTTGTTAAACCACTTACTTATGTTTGTAATTTGTCTGTTCAGAATGGTATATTTCCAGAAAAAATGAAAATCGCTAAAGTAATTCCGATATTTAAAAACGGTGATAGACTTAGCTTTGATAATTACAGACCAATCTCAGTGCTTCCCCAGTTTTCTAAAGTGCTTGAAAAATGGTTCACTCAGAAACTAGACAACTTTATTGAAAACAACAAACTGTTGAGTGACAATCAGTATGGATTTCGATCAAATAAATCTACATCCTTGGCATTACTAGAAGTAAATGAAGAAATTACAGCAGCAATAGAAAGGAAGCAATCCACAGCAGGTCTGTTTATTGATTTAAGAAAAGCATTTGATACCATAGACCATAGTTGAGTTACAGAATTACGGGATAAGAGGGATAGCTCATGATTGGTTAAGTAGTTATCTGACTAAAAGAAATCAATTTGTACAGTTAGAAGAAGAAATTTCAGAATCTCAAATTATTACATATGGAGTCCCACATGGTTCTACGTTGGGACCTAAGCTCTTTCATTTGTACATTAATGATATTTGTGATGTGTCCAAAATATTACAGTTCATTTTGTTTGCTGATGATACAAATATATTTTGTTCTGGGAATAAATTACAAATTATTTTAGAAAAAATGGATTGTGAGATGACTAAACTTAAGAAGTGGTTTATGGACAATAAACTATTTATAAATTGGAATAAAACGAAATTCATGATTTTTGGTAACAGGAAAACAGATGATTCTGTTACATTGTCCATAGATGGTACGTCAGTTGAAAGAGTAAATGAAGTAAGATTTTTAGGGGTCATCTTGGATAAACTTAATTGGAAACCCCATAGAAAATATATAAAACAAAAACATGTGTAAAAGTATTGGATTTTTAAATAAAGTACAAAGTATGTTGGAGTCATCAACACTTCATTTATTATATTATTCATTTATTGTTCCATACTTGACTTATTGTATAGAGGTTTGGGGTAACAAATATGAAACAAACACTAATCCTTTGTTTTTATTACAGAAGAAAGCTATGAGAATTATATATAACGTGGATAATAGAGAACATACCAATAAACTTTTTATTTAATCAAAAATTATGAAATTCAGGGATTTGGTTAATTTGAAAACGTTACCAATTATGCTCAGGGCAAAAAAGAGGTTACTGCCAGCGAAGTTACAGAAGTCTTTTGTTTTGATTTTAAATGATGGAAAAAAATAGAAAGAACCCTGAGTTTAAAAGAGTTTTTGCATGAACAACATTAAAGCAAATGTGTATTTCAGTATATGGAGTAAAATTATGGAATAATCTGGATCATGACCTGAAAAAATGTTTAACTACCGATCAATTTAAGACACTATATAAAGAAAATATCATAGAATCCTATGATCGATAAGTAAATATTGAATAAGTACATTGAGAAGTTTTATTGTGATTTTGTTTACAAAGATAAGGAAGTTCTATACTTGGTTTGTGTATAAGGCCATTCTGTAAATTACATTGTATGAAGTAGAAAGTGGTAGGTCATATAAGACTTCTTCTTCCTCCCCCTTTTTTTCCACTTAGGAGATTGATGATTGTGTTTTGCATTGATGATTGTATTTTGCATGAATGATGAATGAAACTGCTGAGTGAGAAAATAAATTAACAATTAACATTCATAATCCAGGTATTATGCTCTGCTGTAGTGCGTGAATTTAATAGGTAAATGTAGCAATATTGTGAATTTATTTTATATGGTTTGAATGCAGTAAATTAGTTTGTGAATACCAGGATGTTGTTTGTCTGTAAAATTTTTATTTTAAATTTTTCTCCTTTGCAATGAATGAATGAATAAAACTGCTGATAAAATATTGTGTTTTTAATCGGTGAACGATTTTATCCCCCTCATTTAAATCTAAAATTGACTTAGTTTTAAAGACTTATTTTTTACACACAACCTATAAATAATTATGAATATTTTAACCCTTTGATGCATAATGGTCACTACAGTGGAAAGGTACTCAAAATTGTTATTTATTTGTTTTTGCTATTAAGCACAGCTGTTGAAGACTTTATTGCATTTAAGCTCCTCCATTTGGACTTCAGTAAGCCAAGCCAACATATTTCATGTTCAGAATGCACGTTGTCCACTGAGATGGACATGTAATAAATTATTAGTAAATTATAAAATTTTACAAAAAATATTTGTTGAAATTTGTTTCATTCACACCTAAAGATGAATGAAATAAATTGTTAAAAAAATCATGGTTGAAGATTTCATAATTCATGCATCAAAGGGTTAAAGTGACGTTTGATAAATTAGAAGACATTAAAGAGGGAATAAACATGAAGTAAATATTTATTACAGTAACTTGTGCTGCACACTTCTAAACTCTTTTCGTTCATGTCTAACAAACAAACGTATCCCAGTCAGATGTCGCAGGTTGTGAATTAACTCAGACCAAAAACGATGACGTCACTTGTGTTGCCTCGGTTGTTGCGGAAGTGGCGCGCGAGCTTTGTGCGGAGAGGCTGTAACCTGCCAGGCATTTTCCACTCAGGATTAAAAAAAAAAGCAGGTGCGAGCTTATTGGATCAGAAACACAAAGACGGGGAATCATTCTGAAACATGATCCCGTGAGATCGCGTGTTGAAGGACAGCTCCACTGGAGGTTTGTGTAGCGATGGGAACACTCCAGTCCTCCGCGGGCCACCCACTCTATACTGAGCTGTCAGAAAAAACAGGCTGTAAGTACAATTCTGTTGTTTTTTATATTTATTGAAGAAGAGAATGGAGCTTTTGAAGTGAAACAAACTTAATGCAGCTTCATCTTAAAGAGAAACTGCATCAATAAAACTAAACGAGCACTGTCACTTTAAGCCATAACAAGTGTGTAAATCGTTCTGCTCAGTGCCAGGCTATAAATAATTTACAGGGAAAGTTGGAAGCGTAACTTTACCTTTTAACCAAAAGGGGAACGCTGTAAACAATAGATGATTATAATTTGTTATTATCTGACATATTTTAGCCTACTGTTTATCTTGGTTTCAGCTTTTATTCCCAGCAATTACACAATTTATTATCAGCTGATAATTGTGTTCTGGCAACCTGTGGCCTTTTATCTGTGTGGCAAGCACAGACAACCTGAGAACTTTGCATGAAATATGAATAAACAATTATTGTCACCTGATCGCTTTCACTAGTCACCAGGAAACTGAACTGCTTTAATGTAATATGGGTTTGTTTATTTAAAATGAATATAAAACAATACATTTCTGATTGCAGTTTCAGCTGAGCAGATTGCAGTCCTACATAAAAGATTCAAACAGCTGAGTCACAATGAAGACATCTTACGGTAAGATGGACCTTTTCTACATTAAGATCTAATTAAGACCCTTCATTATATTCTGTTTTCTTCTTATTGAGCTGGAAACATGTTGGACAAGGTTCATGTCAGCTCTTAGAGCAACAAATCTCATATAAATTCACATTTACAGCGTAGTTTTTACCTCTTCCAGGAGGCAACACTTTGATGAAATCCCAGATCTTTCCTGCAATCCCATCCGGTCTCAGATCACAGAGGCTTTCTTCGATAAACGGTACAGAGATGATTCTGGAATAAAAGATACTTTCAACCCAAACTGTTTAAACCCAACAAATACTAAAAACAACACAACAGGTCATGAGGAGTATTGTTATTTTTTTGGAGTGCTCATTTTAATTTTGATACCAGCAACAGTTAGGTTTAATAATAAACAGTGTAATTCTAATTAGTGTAAGGATATGCACGGTCATTAAAGGTCTGAGTACATCTAGAGAGGCCTTTGGAGAAAGGAGAAAAGGTTTCTGTTAAAGGTGTGGTTGACTGGAAAAAAAACATTTTTTATTATTATTTCTGATTAGAATGGGTCACACTGAGTTTGTCATGCAGGCTGAACATGAAAATAATCTCCTACACCTATCTACTGCATTAGCTTCTGATAGAAAATAGACAGTGAAACGCTAGGATTTGAAATGCCTGAAAGATCTACGTCACACTGTCATGTAACATTCATGGATTCATCGTGACTCACAACGGAGAAGGCTGTTGTTGTTTTTTAGCAGGAAACAGCAGAGAATGTCTTGGCCCAGTAGAAACTAACTGTTAGCATTAGCAACTTCACCACACAGCAGAACTCTTCCAGGCTTGTGTTATGAGTGGAGATAAAACATCCATGTTGCAAGGCAGTGGTAGAGTCGCGTTGCTGTTATCCAAATCGGTAGCAAGATGTCCAAATATCAGAAAATGAAGACTCCAAAACCTGCCGTCTGAAGCTCAGTGATGTGGGTCACTATTAGTTCCTAGAAATGATGCACTGGTGTCATTTTCCCTCTGAATACGACCTACAAGTCATTCATTCCTACTAGAGACCACTTCAGATTTAGTGGTTAAGCAAGTGTTTTACATCTGTAACATTTTTTGGAATAACAGGCTACATTGTGTCTGGATCATGACACATGACACTAATTCAAAAAATAATTCTGAAAATTACTCCCAGTGATCAAAAGCACCCCCCCCCCCCCACACCCACACACACACACACATCTTTATTTGACCTTGACGTCATTAAAATGGTGGTTCAGATTCTTTAATGATGTTCTTTAAAATGGCTGAGCGTTTTCTGCCATCAGTTTAATTTAAAATAAATCCCAGCTGTTGACAAAAGAGGATTATTTTGTCTACAAATCTTATGATGCAGAAATAAAGAGCTACAAAACACTTTTATAATTAATGATGCACCATGAAAATGAACACTCCCATGTTTTTCTCACATTCAGTAGTTGAACTTTTCCATTTGTCGGTAGAGCACCTGATCTTTCTGTCCGTCTATCCCTTCAGAAACTTTTCCAGGAGCAATGAGGGAAAAGTCAACGAGATCGGCTTTGAAGAGTTCCTGTTGGTCATGTCTCATTTCAGGCCTCCATCGCAGAGCATGACGCAGGAGCAGCGTGAGAATGTCAGGAGGGAGAAACTCAGATGTGTGTTTTCAAATCCATCTCATGAACACACTATCAGATCAATGGCCGAAAAACCAAAGACATATTTATTATGTTTTCCCTGCAGTTTTGTTCAACATGCACGACACAGACAATGATGGAACAATAACCCTGGAGGAATACAGACATGTAAGCTTCTGATCACATGTAAAAGATAAAACAAACAACAACAACAGCAAACAAAAATGAAAATCCAAAGGGTTCAAATGAGGGCAATTGGACTTCTTTGGTTTCTTGAGGACATTTCGCTTCTCATCCGAGGAGCTTTGTCAATTCTAACTGGAATATGGGAGAGTCAAGCTTATAAGCTGTAGCTGTCTGTTATTATTTAACAAGCCAAAACTACTCTGGGTACCCTGAGTATCTCGGATGAGAAGCGAAACATCTTCAAGAAACCAAAGAAGTCCAGTTGCCTTCATTTGAACCCTTTGGATTAGGGCTGGGCGATATGACGATTTTAGACCGTTTTACGATCTACACATCTGACGGTCTGTCATTTTTGAGAGACCTTTTTATCATATTAGCTCTGCTGTTGAAATTCTGTCTTTGAATGAAAAGGAAACTTACCTCAGGCGAATGACACGCCTTTGTTTGACCCTTAACCAATCAGAGTGAGTCATAGTAATATATTAGTGCTCCGCTTGTTTTCACCTGTGTGTGAACAAACATGGCTTCGGCTGTGGCTGTCTGAGCGACAACGAGGTTTTCGTTCCGAAGAGGAACGCCTCGTCCATTATATGAAACTGGTTTGGTTTTTCACCAGACGACAAAGAGCAGCGAAACGTCATTTGCAAGGAGAGCGTCAAGGCAAGTGATGGCAACACCACAAACTTGTTTAATCACTTGAAAAGAAGGCATTCCAAACAATACAATGAGAGCCAGCAGGCAGCTAAAGCTAAAAAGCCTGCGGCTACAGCGGCAGCGGCTAGTGCTTCTTCCTGGCAGCAAACGCTAACATAAACACTCATAAAACTCACTCTTTATGACAGAGACAGCAGACGATGGAACAGTGTGACAGATGCAGTGGCGTACCACTTGGTTAAAGATTTGTGTCCCGTGCGAACAGTAGGAGTGGGATTTAAGAACATGATAAAAATATTGGATCCGCGCTACGAGTTTTCCAGCCGCAAGTATTTTTCGAACACAGCCATTTCACGCATGTACGCTGAATACAAAGTGAGAGTTGCAGAAAATATTCAGAATGTGCAGTTATTTGCTACCACAAGCGATCTCTGGTCCAGCCGCACATCAGAGCCGTATTTGAGCTCAACTATCCACTACATGAGCAACTGGGAGCTACATAGTATTTTGAACAAGTTAATGTTTGCACAATACGTTTGCAATTGACATGTTTGCACTTTAAATATGTTTACGATTTTAATTTATGTTAAGTTACTTGGAAAAACGAGAAAAACTGATTTTTGTAATTGTTTCTCTCAGGGCTTTTATCATCTCTGGTGTGAGTTTAAAATATAAGTGTGTTAGCACTGTGCTGATTATCCCTAATATGAATAAATGTTAATTTATTCAATGTTTCTCTTCTTTAATACACAATTGAAGTTATGCTATTCATGGATAAAAAATCGTGATAAAATCGAAATCGTGATAAAATATTGGAAAAATCGTGATATTCTATTTTTGCCATATCGCCCAGCCCTACTTTGGATTACCATGACCTGGATGACTGAGAACCTTCACCATCAAAATGATGAAAAATAATCCTTCATTTGGTGGAAAACAATACAGTTTAACCTGTTATTAAATCTGTCCAGGTGGTGGAAGAGCTGTTGTCTCGCAGCGGCGCTCTGGAGAAGGAAACGGCTAAAAGCATCGCTGATGCGGCCATGTTGGAAGTGGCCAGTATTTCAGTTGGTCACATGGTGTGTAAACTAATGTTTTATGTTCATAGCATCAAGTTGCATTCATTCACTCTCTGAACATTCACCTTCTTCTACACACAGGAGCCTGATGAATTTTATGAAGGTATCACTTTTGAGCACTTTCTCAAGGTTGGTACACGGCGTTTGCATTACTAATATTTCTGCAACTTATTTGTAATATATTTCAAAAGTAATTATGGTCAACATATATTTGTGCAATTTTTTTTGTTGTTATCCCTTTGTTTTATTTACACACTACGTACACCTCTAACCCTGGCTTTCCACCCGATGTGTAAGCATCACGTAACATCTGCCAAATCCAATATGCATCTATAGCCACCGTTATAGTCGATGGGTTTGTTTCCACCAGCCATGAAACAGCAAGCATCCTGGAAGTGTAATGACACAATCAATTTCCCTCTGGGATTAATAAAGTATTTTTGAATTTGAATTGACTCATTGCTCCACTAAATTGACACTTCAAGTACATTTTTTTACGTGCTATGCTTCCAGAACACATCAAGCTCAGCAGTTTAGATCAGGCCAGACAGGAAGTCAAATACCAGAGCAGTGTAAATCATCAGGAAATTTTCTCAATAAAAGATGTAAATATTTCCAGTTGCTTTACTAGTAAAAAATACGTCATGACCCGTGAAACCGCTGTAGCTGAGGTAAACAGAAAATAAACCACAGACCTTTCTAAATACTAGGTATTAAGAGATTCACCGATCTTAACCGGTTGTTTGTTCATAACGTTAGCGATGTGACGGCACGGTAGCTTCGGTGTGCATCAGTTATAACTGACAGCTATATCACAGCGTATCTTTCCTCGCATGCCTCTCATCGGTATAACCCTTGATTACATTGATTACTTCATAGTTTACTTGCTATGTCTGCGTTATTTTCAAGTTGCATTGAACTCACCGTCAGTATTGTTTAATAAAAGCCAGGTGGTGCCCAGCCGCAGCAAGAAAAACCAACCATCATCACACATGGTAAATGGTGAATGGCCTGTATTTGATTCTTTGCCTTCTGGGTCCTAGAACCCACCAAGGCGCTTTACAACACAATCAGTCATTCATCCATTCACACACACATCCACACCCTGGTGGTGATGAGCTACGATGTAGCCACAGCTGCCCGGGGGCTCATTGACAGAGGCAAGGCTGTCGAGCACTGGCACCACCGGTCCCTCCGACCACCACCAGAAGTCAATGCATTGTGTCCTTGGGCAAGATTCTTGCCCAAGGACACAACAGCAGCATTCTCTGCCAGCAGCTAGGATTGAGCCTACAACCCTCTGATTACTAGACCACCCGCTGTACCTCCTGTGCTGCCCCATAAACATTCCCAACGGCACGAGACGCATCTATTACATTACATGTTGCATATTCATCCGATGGAAAGTCCGGGTAAAGATCCAAAACTAGTCTACGTTTTTGTCCAACTTTCTTTTGCAGCTGCTGGATGGCTTTGAGATCGAATCAAAAATGAGCATTCGCTTTTTGAACGTGGATGCAACAACCCTGTGTAAGTGAGGTTGTCTCCTTGAGAACCATAACTTCTGTCGTTTGCACGGACAAATGCTATGCAAATTCAGACAATATGTGCAATCTGAATGTACTGAAAGTAGTTTACTTTTATTGCAAGTAATAATGTTTTACAGCTGTAGGAGTGGTTGGATGAAGCAATAATGTTATAAACAGCTATGCATGCAAATATGTAAGAATATTTCAAGATGATATTTTCGTAAATCATTTAGAACAGAAGTATAAAAGTTTGCCTCCTTGATCATTTCTGAACTTTGTGCATGCTCTGTCCTCTGCACAACCTCCCCCCGAGAAACAGATCTTACGTCAGCTCATGTGCATTTCTGATAAAATAAAAAGAAATATGAGCACCACAGTTCTGTAATGGTTTTACTTTAGGAAGATAAGCTGCTGGTTTGTTTTTAAAGCATCATACATTATTTTTCATCTTCTTACTTTGAGAGGAAGTTTGTGGGTGAGACTAACTTTACACAGGACATCTGGCAGAATTCATCATCTACCTCTAAACAAATGAGTCACTTAAGAATTTCCATCAAACAGAAAGTGGTGCATTATTCTTTACAACAGGAAGTTAGTGTTTGAAATCCTCTGTAATGCCAACAATGAGGAATGTCATCATTCTCTTGCCTTTTCCTACATATTTTTAGCTTTGCTATTGTAAACAGAAACAAACTGAAACAGTTAAAATAACTGATTACTACAGCTGAAATGTGCACCACAAATAAGAAACATTATTCTTTCATACACTGCAAAAAAGCACTGTTTGAAACAAGTTAAATATATGGTCATTTTTTTTTGTTTTGAGTACAAATGCCAACAAGGTATGAAAGAAAATTTTACTTCTTAGCAAAAATGAGAAAAATGAGAATTATGTGTGCTGATTAAGCTGATAGGATATTTTCTACGCATAATTGAAGAAAACTGGACTTCAAGGAAAAATACTCAGATATCTACATTTTTAACCTAAATTCTTTCCTGAACAAATTGATTTCCAATTATTTTTTACTTACTCTAAGGTTTCACACCTTATACAGGTCCTCAAAAAAATTGCATATTGTGATAAAGTTCATTATTTTCTGTAATTTACTGATAAACATTGGACTTTCATATATATTAGATTCATTACACACAAGTGAAGTAGTTCAAGTCTTTTATTGTTTCTAATATTGATGATTTTGGCATACAGCTCATGAAAACCCAAAATTCCCATCTCAAAAAATTTGCATATTTCGTCCGACCAATAAAAGAAAAGTGTTTTTAATACAAGAAAAGTCAGTCAATGCACTCAATACTTGGTCGGGAATCCTTTTGCAGAAATGACTGTCATGTTGGGGTTTAAGTGCTTGACCCAAGACATGCAGAATCAACACAAGAGACAAATGTAAAATTAAACAATGGTTTTATTCATCTGTGCTCAAATAAGGACGTCCCAAACTGGGAGATGCTGGGGTGAGGGGCAGAAATGGACCTGCATGTAGAGTCGGATTAGGAGGTCTGGTGGTTTGAAGGTGGAGGAGGAGTGGAGGTCTTACTGTGCTGCTGGGTAGATGGTTTGTAAAGAGGTCTGTTAGATCTGAGGAGGCAGGACCCAAGTTTCCAGTGGAGTCGAGGTAAGGGTTCCAGAGGGGGGTGGATGAGCGGTGGTGAACGGGACTGAGGGAAGGAAGATGCAGGCTGAAGAGAGGTCCAGGAGCTTGGCTGAAGGGGTGTAGTCGAGCTGGATCTGGGAAAAACAAGGAGCAGCGTCAAGTAGAAAAATCAAAAATATAACTAGACTAGAGTTTTACTAGAGACTGAGGGGCAGGACAGTTTCCAACTGGATATACCCGTGTGGAGTAATCAAGCAGCGTTGATTAGTGGTCTTCCTCCTTTAAAGCCAGTAGTGGCTGATGATGGATCTGCTGCAGCTGGTCCGATTCAGACACCGCTCACCTGGAATGAATGCTGATGCTGATTAGAGGATGAGCTCACCTCAGACCATGACAGACTGCTTCAATGCGGCGTGGCATGGAGGCAATCAGCCTGTGGCACTGCTGAGGTGTTATGGAGGCCCAGGATGCTTCGATAGCAGCCTTAAGCTCATCCAGAGTGTTGGGTCTAGCGTCTCTCAACGTTCTCTTCACAATACAGATTCTCTATGGGGTTCAGGTCAGGAGAGTTGGCAGGCCAATTGAGCACAGTAATAATACCATGGTCAGTAAACCATTTACCAGGTCGTGCTGAAAAATGAAATCTTCATCTCCATAAAACTTTTCAGCAGTGGTATAACACTGGCTTACTAAACACACACACACAAGCAGGCACAGCTCTGCTAAGCTGTTATGGTCAAAATACCAGAACCAACTCTAAGTCAAACCTCCTCCCATATGCTTCGTGAACAACAACCCCCCATGATCTCGAAGGGGTAGTGTAGTGTTCACATATACTTCTCAGGAATGCAGAAATCCCCAAGCCTGTGGGTGGCATTTAATACATGCGGGAAAGTCCGCTCCATAAGGTATACAAAAGGCGGACATGAGCTGTGTTGCTTTTGGAGACTCTGAACCACATTATTTTACTAATTTGCTGTGTGTGTCTTCATAATCGTGTGACACACACACTCACACACACACTGATTTCTCCCCTGAGCAGCTGTCTGCTTGCCAGGGTAAGCTCTCCGATGCGGAGAACAGGTGCACACACACACACACACACACACACACACACACACACACACACACACACGCACACGCACACGCGCACACACACACACACACACACAGAGCTCCGGAACGGCAGCTCCGTGCTACAGACAGATGTTTACTCAACAGCATCCAGCATGAAAATGAATCTCCCCACTTGCTCATTCTCCTTGCAGATCAGAGGCGGTAGGCGTAATGTCAGCCGGCCAATCAGTCCTTAGTGTCGCCTCGGTCCCAGTCTGACCGCTGGGAAGAAGGTCTGAGAAAGAGTCGCCACAGAAAATGTAAACCTGACCTGTGTGTGAAACCAAATTCCGGTGCCGTTCCGTAACGTATGGGCCCTTGTCGACGCTAAATTGCTGCTGTGGCCCCCAGACTCTGGAGCTCTCTCCCCCTGAGCCTGAGATCAGTGGACTCAGTGGTCTCCTTTAAAAAGCAGCTGAAGACTCACTTGTTCAAGCTGGCTTTTGTATGACCTTCACCACTCTCTCTTTATTCTGCTCTCACTACCTATTCCACCTTCCTCAGGATCCACTGATTTCCCTCTTTCCTATTCACTCTCTCTCTTTCTTCACATTTTTGCTCATTTTGAATATATTTTTAATCATTTTCTAAATTCTTTTTTATATTTTACTTTTTTTGTTTTGTTATGCGCCTTGTGATTATTATCTTGAATGTGCTATAGAAAAGATCTTTTCTTCTTCTTCTTCTTCTTCTTCTTCTTCTTCTTCTTCTTCTTCTTCTTCTTCTTCTTCTTCTTCTTCTTATGTGTAAGCGCCATTAGATTAGATCAAAACCCACTCCCCCTGAGGGAATTCAACAATAGTATACAACTGCAGACCCAGACAGAAGTTTCATGCGTGCTGCAAATTCACCATCATGTCCCCATTTTTGCAAGTTAGTTTTCAGATACGCTAACCACATATCACCACTAGGGTTCGCCAAATTACCTTTCTTACACGTCACACAGTTTGGACCCACAGACGAGGTTCCAGGTCCACCAGCACTTCCAGCGACAAAGTCATAGTAAAAAAAAAACATCATGAAGTGTACTCAGCTGCTCTGCAAGAAACAAAGAATGGTGAGCTAAAAAAAGAATGGTGAACTGTGGAGGGCTTCCATTTCTGGGTGAACATCCTGATCTGAGCTTAGACTCTGCCTGGAGATGCTGTGTACAGCATCTGATTAACTCAGTAGGCAAGCTAATGGTCTAAATGGCGTTCATTCAAAGTCTGGATTTTACCAGGACATCTGAAATTCTTTGTTTTCCTTTTTCCAAAAAGAACATTAGCTATAGCTCAGGCTAGCACTAGCAGTAGCTCGGGCTAGTGTTAGCAGAGGCGGTTTTACCATTAGGCATAGGTGGGTGGCCGCCTGGGGCCCCCTTGTGTTGGGGGGCCCCCTAGCCCTGACTGCAGGCACCCCTCTGTTAATGCCACAATATTCTTATTACCAACCTGTGGCCGCAGACGGGATTGGGCATGCGCACTTCTCATTACTATAATTCCTGATCCGTTCAAGATATCATTAAAATTCCAAAAGTGCTGAAAGGATTAAAAATGGGGCTTTTCGTGCATATACAATACATTACGGTAGCCACCGGGATTCCCTGTCTTGAGCGCAACGAATCACAACACAGATTCAGAGACGTGCTGAGTTTGTCATCCAAAATGCTCTGTTTTATAACTTTTGAATGGCTGGTCAGATCCAGGAAATTCCAACGGTTCCTAAAAGTACATAAAAGCAGCTTTCCAACGGTCTATAGCATGAAGCAATCAGAGTTAGGGAAAATATCGCTACGGGGAAATCCTTCTGTACAGCCTGATTGAAACGGAGCGCAGCGCCACGGTGAAAGCGGATAACGGAACGGGGAAGCTAATCAGCATAAAAACCAGCATGAAATTATGGAAATGCCTCAAAGAAAATCAACACGATCTATTAGGTGTCCCAGAAGGCTTATATCTGAAGTCAGTGACCACGAAGAAGTACAGATCTCCGGTGAACCAGGATATGAACGTTTGTTCAACAATCTTTATTTTTTTATTTGAACAACCCTCAACTATTTACTAATTGCAAGATTCAGCTTCATTCCAGCATTATTTATCTTTTTACCATAAATAATTATTTTTGCTAAAACAAAAGTTTTTGGTATAGCAGTGCACGCTGTGCACGAGAAGCACCCCATGGCTGTGAGATGCGCTTTGCCTGCAGTTGGAGAGAAGCTGCTTCAAGGTCTACCACATCAAATAAAAACGTCTGAAAGTTTACAAAAATAAATGGTCTTAAAAACTGCTACAAGGCACCAAGGTTCAAACTTTTTTAAGAATAGATGTATTTCAGTTCAAAGTTTAAATTGTTTGCCCAGTAATTTTGAAGTTCCTGTTCAGTAATAACTGTAAAAAATTCAAATCCGTTTTTTGCTTTTTTTCACTTTTAAGCTGATTTTTTAAAAGGCTGTAATAGAAATAAATTCTAAATAGAAGAAGATGAAGAAGAAAATATCATTTCTATAGCACCTCTCAAGATAAAAATCACGAGGCGCTGCACAAAAACAAAAATATAAATATAAAAAAGCATTTTGAAAATGTTTAAAAATATATTTACAATGAGCAAAAATAGGCAATTGGGATTTAAAAGAAAAAATGTTAAGAAAGAGAGTGAATAGGAAAGAGGGAAATCAGTGGATCCTGAGGAAGGTGGAATAGGTGGGGAGAGCAGAATAAAGAGAGAGTGGTAAAGAAGGTCATACAAAAGCCAGCTTGAACAAGTGAGTCTTCAGCTGCTTTTTAAAGGAGTTCACTGAGTCCACTGATCTCAGGCTCAGGGGGAGAGAGTTCCAGAGTCTGGGGGCCACAGCAGCAAATGATCTGTCACCTTTGGTCTTTAGCCTGGTGCTGCACAACCAGTAGACTTTGATCCCTGGACCTCAGGGACCTGCTGGGGGTGTAGGGACTGAGAAGATCACCAATGTAAGATGGTGCTTGTCCATGTAAGGCCCTATAGACCAGAACCAGGATTATGAAATGAACCCTGAAGTTGACTGGCAGCCAGTGAAGCTGGAGGAGAAGTGGCTTCACGTTTCTTTTCGTGAAATGTTATACTGGTTTGGAAATACAAACCATACACTGAAAGCTGAGGTTGTTCTGAAAAAAGGAGAAGAGTTACTCACACTTTGCACTTTTTATTACAATTTTACAGCCGTAAGATTAAAAACATACCAGGCGGCCCTGTTATAATTATGGTCATAAGAGGGTTATTAAGACGGCGATGCACAAACTGGAAGTGATTGGTAGTCATTCCACTCCAATCCAGTTGGTGGCGGTAATGCACCAAATTGTTGTTTGCCAAGTGCCATAAGACCACAAATAAGAAGAAGAGAGACGGGAGCGTTCGTAACAAACTCCAAGCGATAGTCAAAACATTAAGCTTGAAATAGAGTTATCCTAGTGGCTCCAATAAGAGAAAGAAGCTGCGTGCTTCATGAAAGCTTTTATTTTCACTTCTGAAAGTGACGTTTCTCGATGTAAACATCAAAAGGAAGCAGAAAGGAAAGACAATGGAAAATGTTTAAAGGGAGGAAAACATAGACCTAAATGGAAAATAGAAAAAAATAACTAAGGCTAAAGCACAGGAGCGCTGATAGGAAGAAGAAAGCAGAGCAAATATTGAAGGCACTCAAAGGGAGGGAAATACAGGAAAAAAGAGGAGGACTAATAAAAAGGGAAAATAACTCATGTCAGAAGAGGGGAAAGTTTCGCAAATCCAGTTAAAGGTAAGACTGTCGAAAATTTAGTGTAAGGGGCCCCATGTCCGTGTTCGCCTTGGGCCCCCAAATTGCTAAATCCGCCCCTGAGTGTTAGCAGTAGCTTGGGCTAGCTTTGTTCTCCAATTAGCATCACTCCGTTCAATGTTTATATAGTGCAGACAGTGAAGTGGGTTGGGACATGCAGATTTAATGTGGTGTTCAACCAGCTTTTCTCAGAATGAACCATTTTCTGTGGCCTTTACAATGTGGCTTTTACATGGGAAGGTAAGTCAGAGACCAACACGGTACACGCGTTTTTGGTATGCTACATTTGACACTACGAACTACCTATATTCAAAAACAGCATAAATGCTGTTTAGAATTCTAGAACCCCTTAAGAACATTGCACAGGTGACATATTTCCTCCACTGCAATGAATGAGGAGGAAAAAACGAATGTTTCACTTACCTGTTGGGTAGAATTCAGAAGTCCAGACAAGAGTTAAAAACCATCCAGACTGAATAATAATGCTGCCCTAAGGTGCCCTCAGTGTTTGAGCTTTAAATAAAACAGATTTATAAACAAGGAACTTGATCCATGACCTACAATGCATCCTTCTAGTTTCTTAAGAGCTTGTGACCTGAGGAAAGTTTGGCCTTAAAATATTGCCTATTTTCAGCGGAAATCTTCCTCTCTCTCATGCTAGCTATTGATGTGTGGCCTGTTATTTGTCTATTTTGAAGACTTCCGCAGTATTTTGGGTTCTTAAGAAAATACACTGACATGTCTATCTATATAAAGACGTGAGCGTGTAAACCACACAATGACAGCTTTTACAGTTGTCTGACCCCTACACACACACACACACACAAACACACACACACCTTGTGACTGACCAGACGGGCGGCCAGTTTCATGAAATCTTTCCTATCTGATGTTGAACTGATGTGTCACTCTGAGTTGATATCACACAGTCAGCGTCTCATCGGCTTCCTGATTTTCTTTTGCCTCCTTGATGGAGGAGTTCACTGCAGAAAACAGTGCATGGTTGGTAAGAAATCGGACACAACAGGTTTGTTAAAGTTGCAGAAATAAGTTTTTTTAATTATTTCTACAGAATATAAACACACAAAAAACACTTCCTCCATTCCCTCAGTTATTGCAGCTAGTCAAATAGTAAAGTTAACATTTCTGTGTAAAGCAAGAAAACATCATACATGAACCGAATCAGATGGCACCTCTCCTTCCAGAAACATCAAAGGAAATAAATATTAAATACCATAAATAGGATCCATCTTAACACACCTGCCAATCTTTCCTCAACAGACGAAGTCAAGTGCTGCTGGAAATGGGCTCCACGCAGCCACGGGTCATCTAGAGAAGACTATGATGTTATTGCATTTGCTGGTCTCCTCAATCTGCTTTTTAAAGTCCTTTGTTCATTTATAATATTTGTAAGGAGCTTCTTGTAGGTCTTCAGGACGGCACAGCCATAGACCTTCTGCTGGAAGACATTCTGAGGTGGAGGTAGTGTTGTCGGTCCACTCGCCGGCTCTGGTAGTGAGAGGTTTGGGAAGGAGCTGTGATAAAAGTTCTCTATACAATAAGCTAGTCTCCGACTGTTGTCTTCAACTATGGTGAACTTTTTTAAAAGTGGACTCTCAGGAGGCTGTAAGTCTGTTTGCTGCTCCTGCACTCTCTTCAGATGAGGGAGGAAGGCTTGGATGTGTGTGTAGATGCTTGCTATCCTTTCTGAAGTCTCCAGCCCAGAGATGGTTGGGTCAGGGATCCTGATCCCCTGAGCTTTGCAGAAACCTTCCTGGAAAGCTTCTCCTTGATATGTTTTCTACAAAAGAAAAAAAAACCTGTTTATTCTAAATGATCATGTTTTTTTTCTAAATTATTATTTTAACCCTTTGATGCATAATGGTCACTACAGTGGACAGGTACTCAAAATAGTTATTTATTTTTTTGCTAGTAAGCTGCAGCTGTTGAAGACTTTATTGCATTTGAGCCCCTCCATTTGGACTTCAGTTAGTCAGACCAACATATTTCATGTTCAGAATGCACGCTGTCCACTGAGGTGGACATGTAATAAATTATTTGTAAATTATTAAATGTTACAAAAAATATTTGTTGAGATTTGTTTCATTCACACCTGAAGATGAATGAAAAAAAATGTTTAAAAAAATCATGGTTGAAGATTTCATAATTCATGCATCAAAGGGTTAAACAGTATTTTGCAAATACATGTGGTTTGAAGGACAACACAACATTTTATGCATCTACTCACATATTCTTTGAAGAGTGTTTTCGTTTCAGTGTTGACAAGTCTGGTTAGCCGCAAAGACTGTTGCAGGTTCTCCCAACACATTTGGTTTCTGCTTGCCACCACACTTTTTGTTGAATTCACATCCAGAAGCAGCAGGAAGTAGAGTAATGCTGAAGGAAACAGAAATGGTCAGTTTTGGGAATTTTGCCTCTCATTAGTGAGAAGTTCATTCAGAAAGCTGAAAGTGCAAAACAAGAGAATATGATACTCCAAATGCAGAGAAGAGTTCAAAAGGATTTAAAAATTACAGTTTGTTCAGACATAAAACTTTATCAGTCACAAATTTCTGACAGAGAGAAGGAAACCGCACATTTCATCTTATTTCACAGCCGCCTCAAGTTTCTAAAAAAGAATGACAGTAGCCTGAAAACAAACAACATTGTTCTCTAAGATCTAAACAAATGTAGAGAAACTTACTTGCTGCTTTTTCCAGAAACTGTTGAAAATACATTTTCCTTACATGACCATTCATTCTTCTCTGTGTCTCGCAGTCAGATTGCATGGACTCATGATCACGCTCCTTTAAAACGTCTATCAAACACAGAAACCACATTTGTCACTGGAGGAAGTGACGTAGACTTTGTGAGGCAACTGAATTTCCCAGAATTTCCTCTAAGATGTGCAAACTTCTGGTTTTCAAACCTTCAAGTGGACAGTGCCCCCACCTTCGTGTTCCCTGGACAGACAGGCATGTTGGGGCATGATCCCAGGTCACATTAGAATATTTTGGACAAATTTTCATTTTTTTTTTTTTGCATGAAAAATAACCTAATTGATGTTAAACTTGAAAATAAAAGCACCCAAGAGGGAAGAAATTAGTCACAAACACCCACACAAAAACAAATTGAGGGCTGTGGTCTACCAACCAACCTTTGACACAGAGATGAGTTCATTTTTTACTTCTTCACTCACATGAGCCATCCCTTTATGCTTCTTGTCCAGTAGAGGGCGCTCAGGGCCAGATGGGAAGATTTTCTAACTTCCCTCATGCTTATTAGTTAAACCTTTAAAGTTCCTTTCAGTGTCAGTCTTTTACTTTTTTAAAGTATCGGTGGCTTAGGTGGCACAGATAATTCACTGAAAACCACACTTGTGGTCATTATTTACTTTGAAAAGTGGCAGCACAGCCATTGTCACATGCATTTTTTTATGCAACAAATCTTAGCGAGCATTTCTGTTGAATTCTGACTCTGGTTCTTTTACCAATTCCTTGGACCACAACTCTTTTTTCCCATGTGGGGATTTGCACAGGAAGCCGGTAAGGTCACAGGAAATGCATTTCACAATCAGAAACCTTAAGAAACAGCAAAAGAGTGGATCCGCCTCACCATTTTCCATGTTGTCATCACAACAAAAGTTGCAGCTTCACACACGAAGGTCTCAGGGCATCAAGGGATGAGTTAATGACATTTGTTTGCGTTGTGCTGAGTTGAGGAGATGTGAAATTTGTTTTCATGACGTCTCATCTCACTGATTGCACCATAAAAACTATTAAAGAAAAACTGACACATCTACTTGAAAGCAACCAAAACTGGCCTTGCGGAGCAGAAATCAGAAAAATAAAATCAGAAAACACAACTTGCCGTCCCTGATCTGTTCATTTTTATGTATCAAATGGAAAATTAGGATTTCAGATTCTTTGTGCTGTGACTGGAACAAGAGGTTGGCCCTGAAAGTGAAACGGCTCGCTGTGAGCTGACATGACCTCCAGGTGTTTTGCATCCTGATTTCAAAAGAGTGAACCCTGCATTGGTGCCGGACCACAGACTACCTGAGAAAAGAAAGGGAGGGGAGAACCACAACTCTGCCATAAGCAGTGCTCCAGGTAAAGGCCAACCTTGGGGCTTTCCATTTACCCCGGGGGGATAAAAGTGGCGTTGTGGTGGGACACTGACAATTCAAGGAAACTACAGTAGGATTCCTGCCAAAATGTATATTCCAGACATATGGATATCACAATCTACGTTTGAATCAACCATTTCTCCCTGAAACTAAAGTGAACTGATCTGAATGCTTCGCATAGCTCTTAAGTTTAACCTGTTTTTGTGTGAATTTTGGAGAAAAAATAACAAAATGATGCATTGTAGGTCATAGTGGCTGTTTTCTACCAAAGAAAAAGAAATGTGAGAAGTTCTGCACCACATAAAGAGCTCTGCAAAGAAACTCAACCGCATTCTCAACCAAGAATTGCATCGTCACAAGAGGCAGGATGTCAAATGAGACTCTCTTTCTTTTTTCAACAAAATTTGTTTTATTTTGTTTTTGAACCACAGGAAATGGTGAATAAAATTCTTTAGGAAAGCCCCCTTTTATTCTATCTAAATACATCTTTCTAGTAACCTAAAATGTACACAAATCGTAAGATTCGGCGCTGCTGTTCCAAAGCTCTCAGGCAAACAAGCACCCTGACAGCGCTCATTTTGTTGTTATTGTTTCACTTATCCACAGAGCTTCAGTAATATGTGACCAGACTAAGGGTCTTTTACTGCATATGAGAAACGTTTTCATCAGATTTCAGAAAGATCATGAAAATGGAAACGTCAGGAAAAACAAAACAAATTCTACTTTAGCTGTCAGCTTGTAAAAACAGGTTCTATTGCTGTCAGAAACCTGAATATTAAATATTTTATCATTTTAGGGGACATTAAAACAAACATCTGTTGTGGAGAAATGAAATTATATAAAAAAAGAAAATAATAAAACACAAACCACTTAAACTACATTTAACTCATAAGAAAACATTGTCTGGCAAATTTGGGGAGGAAATTCACTGCCTGGGGAGCTCCAAATACGTCACGAGCTTTGACTCATGGTAGCAAAATGCTGACATTTTGTGAAACTCAATCATTCTCTAAGACAAAAAACTGCAAGGCTAAAAGTGTTTTTTAAAAATTAAGCACCAAAAAATTGTCTTTACGTTCACGAGGAACAGTATAATTGTGCAACCAGTTCAACGATAATAATGAACACGGTGAAAAAGATCTGTAAATCTCATCGTCAGACACTAATAATTGACCTCAAATGCGATCCAGACCCACGTGTTTGTTTGTTTGTTTGTTTGTTTGTTTATGTTCGCTTTCCTCCCAGAAACAGATGATCACACTGATATTGTAAGAAGTGTGGTTCCATTCACCAGCATTTATACAATCTGAAAGTCTAGTGGTGTGACTCAGCAAAATATTGAACTATTGTATGACCATTTCGCGATATTATAAAAAAAGCAAAGTCTTTTATCGTTAAGCTCTGTTATCAGTAATAGACCAGCGTCTCTGTATATTCTAGCTATGTTCTCATGTACAAATATTCATATCAAAAATTATACAGCACAATTCTCACCATTTTTCCTTTACAATATTAGTGAACATTAGAATGATTCACAAGTTCGGACGAACGAACATGGTGCCGGCCTAAATCAGGTAAAGTATAGATATAACGAGCACGTAACTTAAATCTGCTTCAGGCACAAACCAAATAAAGGCATTTGTGGAAAAAAAAGAAAAATAAAGAAAAGAAAAGATGTTTGAATATGGCGCTTATGTTCAGTATCCGTTGGCTTAAAAGAAGACAGGAAAAAAGAAATGCTATGACCACTTATTTACAAACAGCTAAAAATCTCTGACAGATTCATGCTTCACTTCACAACCTGAATTTGTCCTTAAAGTGCATGCAATAATACGCAGTTTTACCAAGTGGGATCTTGACTTTTGAGAGGATAAACAAGTTGATCAAGCTAACGCCAATTGGTTTTACATATCAAATGAACAAAAAGTTAGGGTCTGTTGCCTAGAAAAAGTGAGGGGCCACAGTATACTGTAGGCATAAGCACAACATGGAAGTATGATTGAATTAAATTTCTAAAAAAAACTATTAAAGTAAGCCCCAGTGACCCCCTATACAGTAGCTTTCACATTCAGAGATTAAAATAAATACAATAAAATGAAAAAAAATAAATGATACCGATACCGACAAAGCAGCTTAACACCACGGGGAGTCCGTAGTTCACATTCCACATTGTCCCTCCATGTAACACACATTTATAAGCATCATATGAACATGATGGGTTTAGCATATCAAAGTGCCCATTTTTACTAAAATTTCCTGATTTATTCATTTCATACCAAAAAGAGAACATGGCATGGAGGAAAAGAGTCTGTTGTTTTATAAACACATTAAGTTAAAACACTGCCATTTAACGCTTCTTCTGCTCTGCTTTCTCCCTTTGAGTTTCACGGCAGAACCTCCCATTGCACGTTAACGCATCCATGCCGAGAGGTGGTATCTAAGAGAGAGAAGAAAAGGAAAGGAGAAAGCTGTCCAGTTTTTTTTTTTTTTTTTGCCACAGATGTGACAAACGAGCGGGTCAAGTGGATGTGAGGAGGGCCCGGATCTGTGGTCCTTGTTATTTTTTGAAAGATAGATCCACTTTCATCTGCTGTCTTCTTTGGGGAAGTCCAGAGATTCGTGGCTTCCGAAACCGAGGCTTCTGCTTTCAGAGTCAAAGGCGCTGATTTCTCTGTCCTGACGTTCCAACAAGTGTTTGATTTTTTCAGACCGCTCCTTCTGGAGTGCAGCAAGTTCCTCCTCAATCTGCAACCGGCAAACAATTTATTTTATCATTTGGTGCACTCAGAGATGATGGCTCAGAAATAAGTCATTTTTTGTTATAAGCATGCTTCATAATCAGTCTCCACAGTTTTTAATTAAATATGCAGCTTTCTTTTCATTAACAGAAATAACATATTGTTATGGCTGCAAAATTAAAAATACTAAATATGCTTTAATTCTTCTGCATTTATTTTGTAGAGTTGGTTAATCCGAGAGGCCGAGCCAAATTCTGATTCATATCTGGAATTCTACATAGTTTTTCAGGGTTTATTAGATTTACATACACACACACACACACACACACACACACACACACACACACACACACACACACACACACACACACACACACACACACACACACACAATTTTCAGCACATGCCACTATTATGGTGAGAAAAACATTTCAAAAGATCTGTGCATGTGTATCTAAATGTGTGCGTATGTATCTATATTTGTGCATGTGTATCTAGATTTGTGTGTGTATATCTAGATTTGTGTGTGTGTGTAACTCTTGATTTGTAACTTGTGTTTACATTTTCGTGTGTAACTTTAGTTCTTACACATACAAATCATTGAGTACACACACACAAATCACCTGGTAAACACAGACATAACTACATTACACACAGATCAGTTTACAAGTACAAAAATCCTTTTGTACACACAAATCAGTCAGGTGAGAAAATAGTCTCAAAAGTCTAATTTGTGCACTTTATTGAGTTTCGTTATGTGTGTGATTACCCCCACCTCTTACTGGTCTGAGTGAACATTGCCTACAAAACTGGTCCATGATGCAAAACAAGTTTGTAGACTTCTGATGTCTATTGGACATCTGCAGAAGTTTTTCAGCTTATAGGGTTGTTCCAGAACCTTTCTACTGTTCAAACGAAGCTGCAGTATTGCTGTCTCCATCTATCAGAAGATGCTGGAGATTGTCCTCATGTCCTCAGACAGACAAAGCTGTCTGTAATGAACCTTTCAGGTCATGTTCTCGTAATTCCAGCTTTGGTTTTAAACATACCTTCTGTTCAAGGTGTGCTCTCCGTATGGAAACCTTCTGCTCAAGTTTCTGCTGCTCTCGCTCATGTTGGGCCTCCATCTGTGATTTGGTTTTTTTCTGGTAGGCATCCAGGAGCTCCATCTCTTGCTCCAGCTGCTGCTTCAGCGCCAGGCACTCGCTGTCCTGCTCTGCTTCTAATCGCATCTGGAGAATAGGGCGTAGTTAGAAGGGAAGGTGGATGTTAAAGCCACTGGGTCATTGACCTTTGTGAAACAACTGACCAACATTTCAGCAAATGAGTTTTACAAAACTAAACATTTTCTTCTGATATTTTGCAATATTGTTGCCTTGTATCAGTTAGTCTGCTATGTATAGATGATGGAATTTGCAACTCAAGGAAAGACATCTGAAACTGTCCGTACCGCTTGTGAAGCCATCATCTCATTGATGCTCTGTTCATACTGCTCAGCCAGAATAGCCAGCTTGCGCGTCTGCTCCTCCTTCAGATTCTTCAGGATCATTTTGTGGTCTCCCTTAGGAGACACCTCCAGCTGATGGTTCCGAAGAGCCTTGTACTGCTTATTCTGCACCTTGCAGGTATCCTGGAACTGTTTCTTGATCTGCATCTCCAGCGTCTGCATTGAAGAAGAAGAAAATATCATTTCTAGCGCCTCTCAAGATAAAAATCACGAGGCGCTTCACAAAAGCAAAAAATGTAAAAAAGCATTTAGAAAATGTTTAAAAATATATTCTAAATGAACAAAAATAGGCAATTGTGATTAAAAAATGTTAAGAAAGAGAGAGAGTGAACAGGAAAGAGGGAAACCAGTGGATCCTGAGGAAGGTGGAATAGGTGGGGAGAGCAGAATAAAGAGAGAGTGGTGAAGAAGGTCATAAGAAAGTCAGCTTGAACAAGTGAGTCTTCAACTGCTTTTTAAAGGAGACCACTGAGTCCACTGACCTCAGGCTCAGGGGGAGAGAGTTCCAGAGTCTGGGGGCCACAGCATCAAATGATCTGTCACCTTTGGTCTTTAGTCTGGTGCGCTGCACAACCAGTAGGTTTTGATCACTGGACCTTAGGGACCTGCTGGGGGTGTAGGGACTAAGAAGATCACCAATGTAGGATGGTGCTTGTCCATGTAAAGCCCTATAGACCAGAACCAGGATCTTGAAATGAACCCTGACGCTGACTAGCAGCCAATGAAGTTGGAGGAGAAGCGGGGTGATGTGGGTGTGTTTGGAGGACTTGGTCAGAAGCTGAGCACAGGCATTCTGAACCACCTGAAGATGGTTCAGGGAGGTTCTGCTCAGACACGTGAAAAGAGAGTTACAGTAGTCTAAGCGTGAGGAGATGAAGGTGTGGATAACTGTCTCAAGTTCAGAGCGGGACAGAATGGGACTCAGCTTAGCAATGTTCCTGAGATGGAAGAAGGAAGAGCGAACAAGAGAACTGACATGAGAATCCAGGGTGAGAGCTGGGTCAAAGGTCACGCCAAGATTCCTGATGGAAGGTTTGGTGTGAGAAGCAAGCTGACCAAGAGAGTCTCTGACTTTGGGAACCAGCTTGTCTGGGGCACAGATGAGGATCTCAGTCTTATCTTCATTCAGCTGAAGAAAGCTCCCAGCCATCCAGGTTTTGATAGAGTCTAAGCAGGTGTGTAACAGCTGCAGCTTAGATATCTCATGGGGCTTAAAGGAGATTACAGTTGGATGTCATTTGCATAAAGATGGTAGGAGATTCCTTTGAAGGAGCTCAGGATGTGCTGAAGAGGAAGCAGATAGAGGAGGAAGAGCAGAGGCCCCAGCACAGAACCTTGTGGGACACCATGGGTAAGAGAGGTGGTGGAGGACCTAAACTTGGAGACGGCCACAGAAAAGGAGCGCTCAGAAAGATAAGAGGAGAACCACTCCAGAACAGTTCCTGATAGGTCAACCCAGTCTCTCAGCCTCTCCAGTAGCAGGTGATGGTCAACAGTGTCAAAGGCTGCAGTCAGGTCCAACAGGACCAGAACAGAACAGTCCCCTGCATCACTGTGAGTCAGAAGGTCATTAGAGACCCTAAGAAGAGCTGTTTCGGTAGAATGAGCTCTACGAAAACCTGACTGGTTGCTAAAACATTGGTTTTAGCATAAAGCAAAACACAGTCAGTGAATGAAAGTCACTCAAAGGTTAGTTTGTTGATGCTTTTGGCTCCAAAGTAGTACATTTTCCCTTTTTTTATCTGGTATTTGAAATGAAAACCAATATTTGTTTCCCATGTTCTTGAAAAATTAAATTCCCTTCTCTCCACAGTAATGTTACATAAATGGAGGGTAAATTATTTAAATGTGTGAAAGCTGCCACATGTTTTGGAAGAACCAGTTCTCATGGCAACATGATCCATGCATTTTTTTTTCTTTTTTGCAGAGTTCCAGCACAACAAATGTCTGTATGTATCAGAGATCTCAGTCAAATATATTATTAAAGTGTAGTGATAGAAAACACCAGTGCTACAAATTAAAAAAAAGCAATTATGACATATTGTGTTTCTTAAAAATTTAGAACCCTCTGAAAGGAGATTTAATGGACATGGAATAGTGACACAGCCAAAGAGGCACCTTGAGGTCTCTGGGCTGCTGTCGCTGCTCCAGAGTGTGTTTTCTGTGCAGTTCTGTTTGCCGTCGGCTGTTGTACTCCTCTTGGTTTTCGAGCTCTGTCTGGTGCTGCAGACGCATGAGTTCCACTCGCAGCTTCTGCAGCATCTGCAGCTGCCTGTGCTCCAGGTCCTGGGTGGACTCGTCCTGCCGGATCATCAGGGCATGTTCCATCTCCTTTTGTGTTCTCTTCTTGTTCAGCTCCTAGGACAATAAGATCAGTGAGGTTATAGTTTGCAGTGTTTGTATCTTTGTGTTTTTGTTTGCTTCAGATAAAGTTTGACTGGTGGTTACACCTTGTAGCGTTTTCCTTTTAAATACATAGAATCTCAAATTTCTAAACCAAATCCTGACATTTTCCTGTTATCCATGTATGCTGATGACACAAAACTTTACACAGGATTACTATGGCAATTAGAATTTGTTTTTGAGCTCCACTCTTAGATTTTTATTGTATTTACTTATTAATTTGGTCAAATTTAAGAAAACTGATCAGGTTTTTAATAGAAAATTGTAAAGGATACAGTGAATTTTACTGCTTTTCCAAACAGTTGATGAGAGTAGTTTTAGAGACATTACTGATAATAATCTAATTAAATTATTAGAATTATTTCATGAAAACATTGCAGTTTCTAATGAAAATTGTTACCTGTTGCAGAACGTTGTAGGGATGTAAGAAAATATCAATACACTGTAATATTGCAACATTTCCATCATGTTGTGAGACTAGATTGGTATTTAAAAGCAGTGTGTTGATTTTTTTTAATTAGACACGCAAACATCTACTGCATTTATTTCATGTGGTGCAATTTAAAGGGGAACTAGGCAGATTTAGCTTGCCTTTAGCACCCCCTAGTGTCTGTTTGTCAAACCAAAACCAAAACTTATCTCCTTGCTGTGCTTTGTCTTTTTACCACCTTAATCTAAAAACCTTCATTAGTGTCTACAGGAACAAGTAATCACTGTTAAACAAATCAGCTGTGTTCATGATCTAAAGCATGCAGGAAATGTGCTGGAACCAGACTGCAGCGCCACGTAGGTCAGCTTCATTTTTCAAAGGCCCAACAGAGCCAGATACCCCTGACTGCAGTGCACAGATCAGGGCGGGGCGGGTCAAACGTTTGACTCCGCCCACCGTGCGGGGACCATGTTGAAAAACCGATGTAGAGGCCGGCCGCCATTTTAGATAGATTTCCTTCACCCCCAGTGCATTCATTTCTACAGAGGAACGTGCTTACACAACTCAAAAACACATTTTATCAATGTTTTTCACAAAATCAGATATGGTATAGCATGAAAATTAAAATATAAATATAATTAAACTAAATAAATTAAAATGTAAAATTCTATTAGTTGCTTATTCTGCATTTACTTTGGAGAGTGAGGAGACCCATTCAATATGGCGGCGATGCTCTCACGCGCCCAATCGTCTATGAATTCATGTCTATGATATCAGCATAACAATGATAATCAAATAACCTGTTTGGTGGATTTCAATAAAATATAAAGAAAGCGCAGATGACTAAGTTAAATGTAATAGGGGCCATTTTTTGATTCAAATCTGTTCTAATGATCTTATTATTCTTCATTCAACTCTTTTTTATGGTATTTATATTATGTTTTTTTTAACTATTTTGGTACCATTTTTTATTATTGCACCTGACACCAAGACAAATTCCTCATGCTGTAAACTGACCTTTACTGCTACTGACAATAAGAACAGTTCTGACTCTGATATGTTACACCTACGCTTATAATTAAATTAAAAAAAAGCTTTTGTATGGGGCACCATTCATTATTTATATCATGATCAGGTCTGGTACCAAAATATGTTTATGTAAATACCAAATACCAAGGTTATATAATATTCTATATACATACTTGTTAATAAAAGAGTACTAAAACAATGGTAATACGTTTACATTTCCATGAGCCCTCACGACCTTTTGACGTTCAGCTCCCACTTAACTAAACAGTTATTACCTAGTCCACCTGAACAGGAACAGTGAAGTGAAATTGACATTTAATATTGGGCTTCTAACTATATTAAAGCAGAAATAACTATGAAAAAGGTGCATGCATTTGATACTTTATAAATAATGTTTGTTTAAGTGTATCAAAAGTCTTTTAACTGTAAGTCCATTATTTTATCCATGCTGCCATATTTTTAATTTTTTATATTAATTTCACAAGAGAGTGTGAAAACAGTATAGATATAGACACATGTACAATTTTTTGTGCACTCAGTTATGTCAGCTACATTAAGGGGGACAGAAACTGAATTGTGCCACTGACACTTATTGAAACATGCCAGGGTTTGAGGTGGGGTGGTGAGACAGTGGACCAAAGGATGCAGACTTAATGTATAAAAAAAAGGTTAATTTAAATTAAACAAAAGCCAACAGTAGAACACAGGTATAAAAAAAATTAAATAAAGCACAAAATAAAAACAAAATCCTCTAACTTACTGAGGAAACTGAACACAAAAATGACCATAACACTCAGACACAAACACTCTAAACACATTCCTCCAGGGAAAAAGATTTTATGGGGTGTCAAATCCTCCAAACATCTGCATCTTCCTCTTGTCACAAAGTTCACAGAACTGACATGGTTTCGGGAATACGTCTGACCCAAGACATGCAGAATCACAACAACTCACAGAATGATGGTAAAAAAAATTATATTTATTGGAAACGGGAACGGAAGGCACACTGGTAAGTCCAGTGGGGATCGAGAAACGGGAGCGCAGCATCTGAGGGGAGAGCAAATACAGGTGAGTCCAGGGAGGTAAGTCTTAACTTGGTGGGTGCAGAGAAAAGACTTACTGGGAGTTGGGAAACCACAGGAATGAGGGAGGGCAGGTGAGAGCCGGTGTATCCAAGTGAGAGGGTCCAGGAGAGGGAGTGTGAGGAGAGCAGGAGAGCGGGTCGGTTAGGAGAAATGGGGAACGGTTCAGAGCTGCATCCAGAAGTCCTATGGGGCACGGGTGAGTAATCCTGAGGAGTCGCTGAATCCAGAGACGTTCCAAAAACCTGGAGGCAGGTAATCACAAAAGGTCCAAAAATTCACAGAAGTCCAAGAAACACGAGAGTACAAAGTCCAAGTAACACAAGCAGGGCAGGAAACTACCAAGCTGCAGTAATCATCCGGCATCGAGATGTGTTCTCCATCCTCCTTAAGTAGCCGGGCCTGCTGATTGCAAACCAGGTGCAGATGGGAAGCTCCCCCTCCTGCAACACACAGCTCAAAGGTGGAATACTGAGAGGAGTACTCACCCCGGCTCATGACAAATCAAATCAAAGATAATTTGATTCAAGAACTCCTCGTAGTCTTCCTGCAAACTAAAAGTGAACAGGAATGGTTCCCTCACATCTTGTAGCTCCTCATCATCGTCATCCAGGCCATCACACATGTGTAACATCTGTACTGCCCTCAAGGAAGCTTCCTTGTCCATGGTGATGACCTGGGGAAGGGAAAGTTTTCCTTTGAAGGATCTGGTGCCACACCATCTTGCTGCCTCAAATGTGTTCTTCAGCAGAGGACTCTCCTGATCAAAAGTAAACACAATAAATATTAAAATACAAGTTGGAGAAGGCATGAACAGTGAAATTAGAAAAGCCCACAACTGGTAACATACTCGGTTCCCTGTTCCCTGTTCTGGCCTGTTCTCAGCCTCCGCTAGAAAGGAAACAGATTGTGCTTCTTAAAGGCACATTAACAATACAAAATGTAAAAAAGATCACTAGCTTATTTTAAGCATACTGGTTTAATGTAAATGGAGTAATGACAGCAAAACCCGCTTTGTCACATCCTATTTCTACAGCCTTGGGGGTTGTGTGTAATAATACTGGTTTGAACAATACCTGAAGCTTCACAGACAGATTCTGGAAGCCTGAACCTTTTAGGTGGGATCACTTCCAGGTCCTGAAAAAAGTGAAGGGATTATGCTTTAGTCTACAAAATTAATTAATCCAGTTACCTCTCACCTGTTTTCCTTTTTGCTCCCTCCGTCTTTTTCTTTCCTGCAGTCTGTCTTCCTCAGACCTTGGTGATGCAATGACAACATTCATTCACTATGAAAACATTGTATTTGTTCTATTTTTTTTAAACAGTGAGTAAAACCATTTTTTAAGTATCTGATAGAAAAAGTGTGATCATGAAAGGCACTTACGGCATGGGGAAGTTTTGCAGGAGAACAAGACACCACCATCTCCTAATTTGCTGCATGTTTTCCTTTGAAAAAGGAAATGCAGGAAGATTCAGATGTGTTGAAGAATAAAACCTTGTGTACTAAGTGTAATGTGTCACAATTTTCACATTCCTCTCTGAAGTCACAACTGGCCCCCAGTTGCGTACTGTAAGTCAAGAGGTACTGGTTAATTTACTAATGTCATTAATATTCCCCCAGAATACAATTTTCAGGTACAAATGTTGTGTTTTTAATGTACCAAGCAAACATTTTACATACTATAAAGGTCTTACCATCAAACAAACGCACCATAGTTGTTGGAGCGCCTTTGCTTTGTTAGGCTCTGAGGTGTGAACAAGGTCTTTTAATAAAAGAATGGCAAGAAAATAGTAAATGTTTGTAAATGTCATGAAGTAATGTCTCACCTGAACATCATCCACGCCAAGCTCCATCCAGGGGCCAGGAGACAGGCTGTGAGCAATGTGTCTGTGCAAAGAGTAAGAGGAAGTAACAAGTAACTTTACTAAATCAACTTTTGCTTCCAATGCATAAAATAAATCACACAATTTCCTAATTAGTTCCTAACTAGTTAATTTGGTTTTACTTTATTCTTTCTTTATTCTATATTTAGCATGTAACAACGATAAAAACCAAATGCATTTTCCCTACGTAAAGTATAATATTTCCCCACAAAAGTGATCTCATAACATTTTTCCCCAAAGCTATATTTCTTATCAACAATACGTCGTGCCAGATATTATATTAATCTAGGACTCAGAATAAGACTTTTAAAGTCTATCTTAATAATGTACAACTGAGAAAAATACTTTTTAAGTCAAGTTAATACCATTACATTAATCTAAAACTCAGAAAAAGACTTTTAAAATAACATTTTTGCCACAACATTAATGCTCAGTATCGTTAAAACTGAATGAAAATCCATGCCTACCTCCATTCTGCGTGCTACTTCTCTCTCTGTCACAGTCACACTCACACACACCCTCCTCAGCGGTTTCAGTTTCAGTGAGCGGGGTCAAATGTTTTACTCTGCCCACGTTGTGCCTAACTTAAATTCTAACCAATAGATTTTTATATTTAATTTTATTTTGTTTAATTATATTTATATTTCAATTGTCATGCCATACCATATCAGATTTTTTGAAAAAGCTTAATAAAATGTGTTTTTAGTTAGCACGTTTCTCTGTAGAAATGAGTACACTGGGGCGAAGGAGACCTATCTAAAATGGCAGCCGGCCTCCACATCGTTTTTTCAACATGGCGCCCCACTCTGCGTCAGGGGCTACTCGGCCCACCAGTCTCAAGTTGCAAGTGGAATATTCTGGCCAAAGGGGGCAGTAGGGGCTGGGTGACTTTTTATTAACCGTGTAAAGCAGGGGTGCCCATTCCTGGTCCTGGAGGGCCACTATCCAGCAGGTTTTGTGGTTTTTCTTCTCCAACACACTTGATTAACCGGTTGAATCACCTGTGCAGCATCTCATCAGGCTTTGCAGATGCCTGTTAATCGCCTGCTGATTGAAATCAGGTGTGTTGAAGCCGAATTAAAACTGAAGCATGCTGGACACTGGCCCTCGAGGACCAGGATTGAGCACCCCTGCTGTAAAGGGTCATTTTAGCACATTGAGGCTCAAGAAAATGAAAAAGTTGCAAAGTATCCCTTTAAACTCTGACTGCTAGGTGGCAGCAGTTTTTCATTCTGAAAGAACAAAGAGATCTTGGGATAACACTAAATGGGACTTGGAAACATCTGGCCTGAGCTTTCCAATTAAATTCAGTTTTAAACATTGCAAATATATTTTAGTATTGCACTGCCTGACCAAAAGAAATAAGTCTCAACCTGGATTTGATGAGCCTCCTGTTAGATAATAACTTCTTGGGCAATAATCTTTCAGCTGGCAAATAGTTATTTAACCCCAACTGGTGTAATGAGTTACTACTTAAATTACCATGTGGAAAGACACATCTGGTGGTTGTGGAGTCTGTTTGAGAAGGGTCAGATCATTGGCATGCGTCAAGCAGAAAAAACTTCTAAGGAGATTGCAGAAACTAAAACTGGGTTATGAAATGTCAAATGCATGATGAGTCCAGATGGACCCTGTTCCAGGGTGATGAGTGCATCAGGGTAAGAAGAGCAGCAGATGAAGTGATGCCATCATGCCTAGTGCCTACTGTACAAGCCTGTGGGGGCAGTGTTATGATCTGGGGTTGCTGCGGTTGGTCAGGTCTAGGTTCAGCAACAGGATGTGCTCCAAGAATGAGGTCAGCTGACTACCTGAGTATACTGAAGGACCAGGTTACTCCATCTTCCCTGATGGCACGGGCATATTCCAAGATGACAATGCCAGGATTCATTGGGATCAGATGATGAAAGAGTGGTTCAGGCAGCATAAGACATCATTTCACACGTGGATTGGCCACCACAGAGTCCAGACCTTAACCTTATTAAGAATCTTTGGGATGTGCTGGAGAAGGCTTGGTGCAGTGGTCAAACTCTACTGTCATCAATGCAAGATCTTGGTGAAGCATTAATGCAACACTGGATGGAAATAAACCTGGTGATATTGCAGAAACTTATCGAAACAACACCACAGTGAATGAGTGATGTAATCAAAGCTGAAGGTGTTTCAACAAAATATTAGTGTGTGACCTTATTATTTATTTATTTTTTTGTGACGACATCTATTTGGACAGGCAGTGTATCATATCGTCTCTCCCCAGATTATAATCAACACACGCCTCTAGTAAGACAGTTCCTTTGTGGGTCATTTGTCTACTTCAAAGGTTTTAAATAACTTAATGTTTTACAAACACATTATTTTTAATTTCATTTTTATTTTGAAAAATGTTGTTTTCAAATTCAACACAAAGTCTAAAATTCTCAATTTTTTAAACGTCTTTGTCTTTTCTCTAAAAAGACCAACCTCCTATAGAAAAACAATGGCTGAATGGTTCAAGCAGGTGTTGTTAGGTTTCAGAAGTAAGATGACAAGTGTCTGCTGTTCTTATCTAACATTGAGTAAGCTTGTTCTATTCAGCACTGAGAAGGTTCTTTAACTTTGTAAATTGTGAGCTATGGCCTTCTTGGATTAAGATCACATATCAAGATCATCCCACAAATTCTCCTTTGAATGGACATTTTGATATTTAGCCCTTTAGGCCCAAGGCCATTTTTCTTTGGGCTCTGGCACCTCCCAATCTGAGGTCTTTGGAGTTTCATGTCCCAAGTGTCAGTGATTGTTTGCATTCCCCGAGTACAGCTACAGCTACAATCAAAACAGTTTAGCTTGTAAACAAAGCAATGTTTGGTTTTTGATACATTAAGATAAAATAATACTTGAACTTCATTTTAGAAGAGCTGCCCTGTGTAAAAGTGCTGACAGGATGGAGGCTGTGAGTTCAAATTCCATTTAGGAAATTTAGCCAATTGTTTCATTTATTCCAGGGGTCCTAAACTAAATTTGTTCAAGAGTTTTTTTTTTCAGCAGACACCAGAGAGGTTCAGAAGCTCTTCTAAAAAAGTTCAAATATCATTGTATCTTCATTTATTACAATTTAAAATGGCCTTGTTTCCCATCTGGGCTGTTTGATTGTGGTTTTAGTTGTGTTTGGAGAATGTGGACAGTTGTAGATGTTTGGGACATGAAACTGTAGAGGTCCCCAATAGGGGGCGTTAGGGTTAAACAGGTTAAAGTTAGGGTTAAACAGGTTAAACAGGTTACAAGCCAAGTCGACACCTCAGTCCATTATTCAATAACAAAACCATTATTTTACCAATTTTCTGATTAAGAAACCCAGCTGCTATCAGGAAATTCAGTTTGACAGAAGGGGCATAGTTAGAAGTTTTGTTTCCACATGAACAGAATCAACGAGTTCTCATCAGAACATTGTTGAAAGCATCACACTTCTCCTGCCACCTTTTCCTCTTTAGATCGTTTTCCAGACTGACGACACACCAGAGCCAAGTGAACAAACCACTTCATCGTACTCCTCAGGTACAGCTCCGATGCAGTTGGGACCTCTGGTACTTTTGGTTGCAGACCAAAGTCGCCATCAGCATTGTGAAAGGCTACACTTCTGCATGACAAAGTGGACTTCAGTCTTCTGAACGCTGTTGTATTCCAATTTGCTTCAGCTTTCTAAAAGATTGATACTAGCCCATCAGTCGGATGGAACCAAACAGGCTTTTACCCTCCATAAATGTTTAGGTCCCTCTTGACTTGTGATCGGCTGCTTCTGGAGCTGTTGGTGCATGCGTTTACACTCAGAGCTTATACTTAGAATGATTTAGGGTTCGTTTTTAGCAGCTTCTTACCACCACAGACTGGGACATTTTTGGTAGGAGTTGAAACTTCTTTACAATGCATCAGAAAACAGAAAAGAAGCAGACAAAGTAAAATTCCATTACCTCTCTCAGCTGCTCCTGTTCGAACTCATGCCGTCTGAGCAGACTTCGGCGTTTCAGAGCCCGGCAGCTACGGTCATAAACCAGCCTCTGCTGGGCCAGCAGGTGAGCTTCTTCCTCTGCCTGGGAGCGCTGCATCGTTTCTTTGTACCGAGACAGACGCTCAACCTTCTCCTCCTTGGATGAAGGGTCTTCACTTATCTCCTAGAACAAAACAAAAGGCTAAGTGATCTGAAGATGTGTTCAACAGATTTCTTGCATCATGAACTTATGTGCAGGACATCATTACTTCCTTGATCTTGTCTTTGCAAAGCCTGTACTCCTTTTTCTGGTTCTCTAAGAAAGAAGTCAGCTCTTTCTTTTGTTGGGCAACAATTTGCTGCTGTATCCTCCTCTCTTCTGCTGCAACTGATTTAATCTGTGAAGGTGACATGAAAATCATCACTTTAGAACTTTTTTACAAACTCTTTAGTTTGTGCCCTCGGAGACGCAGCAGCTGAAGCTGTACCTCTTTATCTGTTTGAGCAACGTGGCGTTTGGCCAGTCTTTCCAGCTCAATGTAAGTGTTGTTCGTCTGTGTTTCTAATTCCTTCTGCAACCTGAGCCTATGCCCGTCCATCTCGGCCTTTAGCCTGTTCTCCAGGGCGATCAGCTGCTTCTGGTGCTGTCGCCGCATGCGCTTATACCCAGACATCTGCTCCCGCAGCTCAAAGTCCTGCTCATGCTCCTGGATCTACCTGATGCCCTGGACAACAAAAAAACAAAGCAGGATGTAAAAGAAGCGCAGCTAGCAGGAAGAAGCTATTTAATCTACAAAGTTAATCTAAGAAAGTTGCCAATGACAGGCTTGGCTAAAATTGTTGGTAGCCCCCTGTTAATGAAAGAAAAGATCTACAATCTTCACTGAAACAGTCCGATTCTGATAAACTGACAGGAAATGAGCTAAAAGAAGAAAGTGCTTTTGAACCGTGGGTGGACAGAATAATTTAAAATGAAGTAATGGAACTAACTGGGACAAAAATGATTGTGTCTTTAATTTAATATTTTGTCACACAGCTTTTGGAGGTAATCAAGTGCTTTTTGAGATTTCTGTCCACAGGTATTTTGGCCCACTCCTCATGAACAAACTGCTCCAGCCGACTCAGGCTTGAGGGGATCCTTCTCCAGATGTTTCAGCTCAAATTTCAAAAAGGATTAAGATTAACACTCGTGGAAGATCATTTCAGAAGAGTGCAATATTTTACTCTTGGGTCATTATCCAGTTGGAGGACCAATGAGAAGTGAGACCAAGCTCATTTAGCTGTTGATTGTCCCCAAACAAACCAGAGGTTTACCTCTGTTAGGTCCTGCGTTCTTTTCTTTAATTTGCTTCATCTGTGGAAAAAAAAGCCTCCAGTATCATCTCATCTGTCTTAAAGGACAATTTTCTCCGAAGTTTTTGTGCTAGTCAATATATAAAGTCAAGTTAAAGGCTCGTTGTTGTCACACACACACTGGTGTGTGGTGAAAATTGTCCCATAAAGCAGAAAAATTGGCTGTGGTCAGGAGCCACTTGATGGTTAACACCCCAAATCCAACCCCTTAAAGCTGAGTGTGGAGCAGGGAGGCATTGGGTCCCACTTTTAAGGTCTTTGGTATGACCCAACCAGGATTTGAACCCCAGTCTCCCAGTCCTAGGGCGGACACTCTACGCCACTGAGCTGATATATTTTGGTTAATTCTAGTCGTAGTTTTTATGATTTGCTTTCTATGGTGCGGTCCTCAAGACTCCAAATCTCTTTAAAAGCTGTTCTGGGCTCTTTTGTTATTATTCATGTAACCCATCTCTACAATCTGTCATTAGTGTTTCTCTAATAGCTGTGGCCATGGATGATGGCTATGATCCTGTGGACCTTAAACTCTTGAATAATCTGTACAGCTGTAGTCAGAGGAACATCAAATGGTCTTCTAGCTTTTCCCTTTAACATGCTGGTCCATAATTGTCTTTCTAACTTCCTGAGAAAACTCTATTTAGCTTTCTGTTTTGTCCTTGTTCAGTGTAGTACACAGCCTGATACCAAACAGCACTGGGACTACCTTTCACCCTTTAAGAGATCAGACTGGCTGACTACAGGACTGAAGACACCTGAGATGCTGATCACAGGACACATGTCCCTATTTTAATCAGTTCTAGGAGTGACATCATTTTTGTCCAAACCAGTTTTATTTGTATTTTTCAGTTGAACCACAACTCAAAAACAAGAACTCAGAAACTCTAAATGATAATCACACGATTATCATTCATGTAATATTTTAAATTCTCTTATTTCTTTTGCCAGTTTCAAGTTATCTCAGGGACCATCAGGGGGTGCTAAGTATTTTATTTACTGTAAAAATAAAATAAAATTAAATAAAAAAAACACAAAACCGTGATTGTAACTCGTTCATATTCACTTGAAAACATTTAAAAACATACAAAAAATAAATCACATCTGACTTTTATACCAGTTTGGATGAAGAAGTTGTGATGATGGCAACAGAGATTTCTGATGTCACCATTTAAATAGATATACAAGAACCACACACACACACACACACACACACACACTAAGCTGAGGCAGAGAGGGAGGCTGAGGATGGGGGAAATGACATCCATTAACAGGATCTGGTTGCCATGACTACAGATGTACAGCTGAGAACACCTCTTCCCGCCTCTCCTTCATCCCCGCGCCGCCAGCACGCACACATGCACGTGCACACGCGCGCACACGCGCACACGTATTTTCATGCAAACGGCGACGGTCGGAAGCGGCGTACCAAAGGTGCTGATGTGACGGTGATAATGTGTCCACAGATCTTGCAGTCGAGAGACCGGATCTTGTCAGATGTAGGCCGCAGCTCTGGCCTGGTGTCTCTGTGCACGGCCTCATCCCTCACGCAAGCATGGTCCTGCAGGGGGGGAGGAAAAGGAGGAGATAGTGGAGCAGGGTGCTTCCCAGGCCCTCCGCACTCCTTGTTTCCGCTGGAGCTGCTGTTGGTGCTGAATCTCCCTGAATGCAGCACACATTCAGCGTTAGGCGCATCCTTCCCGAGCTTGGTCCCCCGCTACTGTGTGCAAGTCCTTCCTAAGAGAGAAAAGGGCATAGCCAGAGAACTGTAGGCACCGCCGGGAGAAGCAGCCACTGATGGAGTCGGGGTTTTCTGGCGTCCTCCTTCTCTGACAGCAGGAGGAACCAAAGCGGCTCCGGTGGATGAGGAGGAATTATGCAATGCCTACCATTGATAATCAGAAAGATGCCACCAGGATTTCAGTTACTGCCACTCTCCTTCTCCGTTCCAAAATGCAGGAAACATTTGGGAGGAGAAACAGTTTCCCTGTGTTCCTGTGATCGACCGTGGCACCATAGTGGAAAAACGCTTGAATCAGATAAGGCACATGATCCCAACATGGTTTTCCCTCGAATGTGTCTCGCAGAGGTCCGTTTGTATTCCTCTCGAATTCCTGTCCTACATTTACAGCGCACTTGGTCATGGTAGGTGGTTCTGGTGCCTCCTATTCATCTCTTTCCTCTGTCCCTTCTCTACACTCCCCCTTCCTTTAAAGAGACACCACAACTCCACAGGACTGAGGTCATTTAACAAGGAATCTCACCCTTTTCACTTCTCTCTGGATCATTATTATGATCTACAACATAACCAAGAATCGTATTTTATTTACCTACTGATGAACATCTGGAGAAATAAAAATGGTGAAAAGATGCACATAAAAGAAAACACATTTAATAATAAACAAATAGGTACTGAATTTTTTTTACCCTGTCTTAATATTATCAATGGAGAAAAATAATAAACTTGAAATATACCACCCCTGATTCTCTATAGCACTACATCAGATTCTCATCTGTGGAAACCAATATTTCATAAAAACATGAACATTCCTCGGGTGAATTTTAAAACCATTAAGAGTATAGACTAAATTTGATATGTTTGCATATAAAAGTTACATCTGAATAAATGTGACATCCTTAAGGGGTGTCCAATTATCTCAAGACAAGGGTCAAAATTGTCAAGTTCAAACTCTTCAGGGCCACAAAAATATATTATCTCTATTTAGTAAATACAATAATAACATATTTGTACTGCTGAAAAATAGGCCTCAGAGCAAATATCTGAATATAAAATTTTTGTAAAGGCTGCTGGAGAGACAAAATTCCACTGTTCTGGATATGAAGTCGGCGGCCTCATAAAATCACTCAGAGGGCCGCAAAAGGCTCCCAGTGCCGAGCAAGCACAATCTGGAATTTCTTCACGAACCTTTCAAATTCTCAACAAAAAATAAATCAAACAAACTATGAGTTGAAAATATGAGTTTGTTGTGATTTATCATTATAATGTAGGAACGGCAAACATTTAAAATCTGAAGCACATCAAAAAAACAGCTTGTATGCTCTTCTTAAAAAAAATAAAAGCTCTTCTTATTGATGCCTCTCTGGCTGCTCTTGTGGGGTCATAGGGCATTTCCAGGCTAGATAAGTCATACAGTTTCTCCAGCGAGTTCTGGGTTTACCTTGAGGTGGGACATGGCTTGAAAACCTCTAAAGGAAAGTAACAGGGAGGCATTAAATACCCAAACTCTCTCAGCTGACATTTTCACATGGGGAGGAACCGCAGCCCGGTTCTGGACACACACACACACACACACACACACACACACACACACACACACACACACACACACACACACACACACACACACACACATGGAAGACAGGGTAATGGTCCAGTTCATTTGCTTCATAAGCTTCATTGTCTTTGATATAATTTCCATTAACACACACACACACACACACACACACACACACACACACACACACACGTTTCCATCTTTCCTCTAGCTCTGCATGTGGTGTTATATTCGTACTCACCTCTAGATGGCAGTGTTGGTCTTAGAAAAGATGGGATTCTCACTACTTCCTTATTCTCCTAAGTTTTTTTTTTATATTTTTGACAGCATTTTAATATTGAGTTTATTATTAATCCGGTGCTCTAATATACCCAATTTCTAGTTTGTGCATGCGGATAAATAAGATGATCCCTTTAGCTGCATAGTACAATTCGCACATAAATGTGATAAAATGCTTAAAAATGCTGGACACAATAACAAAAACAAACAAATTCACAAAGAAGAAATATTATTTTCAGATGTGTCTCTAGATGTACATTTAGTATTTTAGTACTACTACTATAGTATTTTCTTTTTTGACAGTTTGACAAACATATACAACAGAAACAGTGCATTACAGGATCTAAAATACTTTACTGCATAGTCCTACAGCCTAATATGTATCATTTAAAACACATGCTATAAGATGTTAAATCTTAAGTACATTTTATTGTGATAAGCTAGTTATTTTACTTGTATGGAAGGCAAAAAGTGCTGCAATATGACAAATTCACAAATCATTAAATGCATTTTAACATCTTTATTTTATTACATTCTAAAAAAAAAGCTGTTAATAATTTAAAATTGTATTTATTAAACATGTCACTATGTTTTATTTCTTTGCAAAAATAATTTATGTCGACTTTTCATGCCTTGCTGTTATTGTGATATTATTGTCTTGCTGATGACCCACAGTGACCGTTTGAACTAGTTAATGCTGCGCTGCAGCAAAGGCTTTAAACAGGTTCAATAAACATTTAAATATTCAGGCAGGTTTTTAACCATAACAGCATTTTTGCATAGGCCTACAAAATAAAATACATTTTTATTTATTAACAAAGAAAAAAAGGTTCCGTTTATAGCTCTGTGCGTTTTTGATACAATTATAAATTAGTTTGATTAAGTCATTTCCAGATTGATTTAATATTGACATAAAAATGACTAATTACAGTAATAGAGATTTACTTTTTTAATTTTCACACATTGACCCCCCTTAAGTCATGTAGCTTGTTTTTCTGCAAAGCTTTGTTTATTGCTGATCTGTTGCTGTTGATAATTTAATAAGCGTATATTTTTTTTAATTGCAGGTAAGCAAACTTAGTAGGCAAATGTTAGTAAGCCACTGTTGTGTGACATTCATCTTTTTTTCTTTATTTCAGTCTGAGAAACGTTGGTGCGGAGTTTGGACCCCTCACTTCTCCTCATCCTGTGTCTGTCTGATCTGAACCGGAACAACCATCTCAGAGCTCGGGTTGCTGATGGACGTCCCAGCAACGGGAGCCTCGACAGACAGGACTCCACCGCTCAAAGATGAACTGATGTGCTGCAAATCCACCCCCTGTGGTAACCTACAGAGGGAAAATCAGCCAAAATGATATTTATAAGAATGTTGTGGGGACGTTCTCCTGTTGTTTTTGTCTATCTCTGCCTCTGATGTCACACATGTTTTTATGATGACATTTCACAGATGATTTCCTGACTGAAATGTGATCTGAGTCTAACTTACTTGTATTTACGAGTGAAGCACCTTGAAACTAGGCCATGCTTGTCCTGCCTCTCTTCGTGATTTCCTGCACACCATCACAGTTATTGTGAAAAACTAACAGAATGCAGAACCTACCATTTGTTATGATGAATCTACCTGAGATTTGCAGATAACCCTCCTTTGTCGTTATGGTGATGTCCTCTGGTGAGAAGTGATTGACGTCCAGGTTGACTTTCCAGCTGTTCTGTCCTGTCCGGATCTCCGACACTCCGCTTGTCAACTGTCTCAGAGTCTTAGGATCCAGCACCCCGGGGTTCTGACCCACAAACAGAGGCAGAAGGGGAGTTTGGGCGAAACCCGGCCAGGAGGAAGAAGCCAACCTCTTCTTCGCCCAGTCGAGCCAGTCCAGATCACTGGGCTCCAGGAAAGGAGGGAGCCCAAAATCTTGTGCAAAGATGTGGCTCGGCTGAGTCCAGTTTGGGAAGGGTTCCCAGCCCACATCTCGGCGGAAGATGGGACGGGATAAAGTCTTCTTTTGTTCATCCATGTCTTTTAAAGAATCGTCTCAGAGCGAAGGAGAGGGGTGTGTGGAGAGGAGAGCCTGGAGCTCCCGCCTGACAAACAAATGTGAGGACCAGAACACCATACAATGGAGCAGCTGTATTTATGGCTCTCATGCAGCAACAGATGAGGAGGAGGAGAAAGGAGGGAATCAGCCTAATGACACACTTTATGTATGCAGCTGATTCATTTAACACTTGAGTGGCAGAGAGTGGGATGTCAGAGGTGAGGGCAGTGTGATATACTCGCCGTTGCCCTGGGATGTGGACAGGCCAACACTAATTATTTGTGTTTATACCTCTTGCCTGTCTCTGCCGGGTAAGTGTTTTGAGAACGGCTCTGGAGGCAGCCGGTTCATTCAGCACTGGCCTCTGCAGTCTCGTCACATACTGGCGCTCTTTGTCTGCAAAAATTACAACCGTGCGTTATTTTGAGGGAACGTCACGTGCGTTTAAAGTCACACGCTAATCAAAAAATGTTTATTCCACTTTCTGAACTCAAGGTTAGAACTAGAAAGGGTGAATTAGCAGGGTAAACAAAACGAAACTGCTGAGTGTTTACGGCTAAAGGAGAGTGATGGATGTGTTCAAGTGGTGGAGAGGAATTTCACAGATGTGTGTTTGTGGGCAACAAGTTGTTCAGCTGATGAAGCAAGCATCTGAGTATAAATCAGTGCACATTCACAGCTTTATTAGCGAGGCAATGGCTCAGGAATACTCAGCTGTGCTCAAATATTTAATTAGAAAAACAGTGAATTGTTTATTTGTCTGAGTTTTATGGAAGTGAACCACCTTGTAACAAAAGAGTCCGGTGCTGTGAATAAAGATTTATTATTGACACATTTATTCTGTTTTTCCAGATCAAAAACTAAATTTCAGTGTTAGACAAAGATAACTTGAGAAAATACAGACTAGATGTATTAACAGAACAAAGTTATCAAGAGTAGAATAGCAGCAGATGAACAGGATGTAAGGATTTAGGATGGAGATTACCAAAATAAAACAGGAACTGCTATTAGGGCGTACAAAATAAAACAAAGTGCTTTGCTCAGCACGTCCTAGCTCCCAAGAGGTGTTGGAGAATGGGCAGAACTGCCACTACAAGCGTTTACTGACATCAATAATGACAAAACCTACCAATGTCTGATTTACTTTACTGATCCTGAAAGTTAACATGATTTTATTTCTACAAATTGAACACAGAAATAAGTGCAGGATGCTTTTAACTTTACTTTTTAGACAGAAAATTAATATAAGAAGCAGATTCACACATTTGTTTCCTTTTTTTAAAATGTAGGAACATTCTGTCATCTTTTTTCTTTCATGTGCACACTGAGGCAAAGCATTAAACAACATATCATTTTTTAAATCTTCTTGGACCAAAATGTTGCTTGTCCAGGATTCAACTCAGAGGACATCAATCGTCCCCTCTTCTTCTGACTCAGCAGTTTTTCTAAAGCACAGAGATGCAAAAATAATGTAACAAAACACTCTTACGTTTGTGCAAATCACCAAAAAGGATCAATAGACCTTTTCTTGATCTTTCCTTTTTGAATGAATAGGATTGCTAAATGTCCCAGTACTGTACCTTTTCTGTGTTTTGGAGTGCAGAACAATAGTTGTTATGATAACAATCAATGCCAAAACTCCAATCACTGAACCAGCCACAATTCCTGGAAGATTACCTGAAATATGACAATTAGTTCAACAGGAAGTTTCCAGTAGTGTCTAAGTTATGCATTTACATTAAAAGGGATTGATCATTTCATTTAGATTTTTTAACCTCTTTTACACGTTTAGTTGCACTTTAATTCAAAAGACATGACTTTAACTTAACTCTTCTGCAAAAAAAAAAACAAACCTGTAGAATAAAACCCAAAACAGAGTTCTAGGTTCATTTATTTTAATGTCCATTCCACCGCATAACGTTTTATTTAATGTTGTCAATATCTGTGATTTTTTTAACATTTCAGATACTTAAAAAAGACATTACACTGTGTTTTCTTAAGTTATAATACTTCTACGCTTGATAAAAACATGTTTATGAAGTTATTTGCATTAATTCCCTCTCACATAAAAAAATTTCTGCCATTTTATTCTTGACAATTTCAGCACCTTCCAGAATGAGCTGTTTCAGGGCTCTGTCACTTTAAGCAAACAAGCTGGAGCTGGCCACGACCGCTCATCCCCCGCACAGGCTGCTATAAGCTGAGAAGCTCCAATATCTGGAAGGGGCTCAGAATGGAGCTGCTGCTCCTCCAGCAGCACATGAGATGTGGTTCTATGCTAATTTCCTGTCTGTGACATTGCAAAAGGGGACTTTGTGAAACAGCTTATTTTAGTCACATCATTTGAAAAACCAAACACTGACTGATGGATGCTTTAAACCTTTAAGTGTTTATAGGGGCAGTAGGCAGCACAAAAGGATGCAAAAGGGGAGTTTTGCATGATATCCCCTTTAAATCCTCCAGAGAAGGATTCCTGCTGTGGTAACTTCTTCTACAGCAGGAGGTGGCCTCTTTTTTGCATTTGTTTTTAAATAATAAATAAGTGTGTGTGTATATATATATATATATATATATACAGTATATATACATATGGTTATTTTTTTGCTGTAGGCAAAAGTACTTATTTTTTTTTATTCCTAGTGATTTTAGATCTCTAATACCATTTGAGGCTGTTAATAGCTGTTAAATTGCTTTTCTAAATGCTACATTCTTCGTTTTTCAATTCAAAATCATTGAAATTCTGCAGTCCATGCAAAAAAATAAAATATATTTAGCTATAAATCAACTAAAAACAAAAGGAAAAAAAACTCTTAATGATGTTCGGAGACAAACATTTGGAATAAACATTCACATCAGCAGCTGCTCTGTCCTTGAAAAATATAATTCTCGGCTAAATTGGGACACTTTTTGGATTCACTGAAACTGAAAGTCTGATTTTGTACAGCTTCACTTGAGTCGCATCAACTGTTCTTGTTTCAATCTTCTTTCACTGCAGTAGCTTGTGAATGGGAATATATTCAACATCTTTCAGGAATCCAAAGGGTGCTTTAATATTTTCACAACAAGACTGGAGATGTCTACTGGTGAAAATGGAAAAACTAGAATATCCTGCAAAAGCCCATTTATTTCAGGAATTCATCATAGACTGAGAGACCATCTAAAGGCCCGGGAAGCATTTGCAATGGTTTTGGATTCATTAGCTGATCAGAGTGTGCACTTTGAGTCTAGAAGGGGACAGGGCCTTTCAGTCTATTGCCCCCAGACTTTGGAACAGTCTGCGTTCAAAGCCCCGTCTCTCTAACACTGTAGAGGTCTTTAAAAATCATCTAAAAACTCACCTTTTCATCCAGGTGTTCCCTCCCTAAATGTTCTAAAAGATGGCTTTGTTCGGGTTCACACCTTCACTTTGTTTTTACTCCTGATTTAATTTTCTACGTTTAACACGGCTATTGTTTTTCTGATGTTTTTATTGGTTAGTGGTATTTGCCCTGATCTTTTACTCAAGTTGTACAGCGCTTTGTGATTTATATCTGCAAAAGGTGCTCTATAAATAAACTTATACTTACTTACTTACTTTACTAGAATATAGAACTTTTTCACAATATTCTAATTGTCTGAGATTTTGACATCTTGGGTTTTCATCAGCTGTAATCACAATTATAACAAAGGTTTGAAATATCTGACTTTGCATGTGATGATTCTATATCTCATTTCATCTTTTAAGTTGAGCTAACAAACTTCTGCGCCATTTTATAATTTTCCAGTTTCACCCACATGAGAGATGGATCTCCCTCACACTCAGAGATTTATTATTGCTCTTACTTTTTACAGTGAAATTCTTTGTTCCATCTTGTAACACCCGTGATCTGTAACTTTTGTGTACTTCCATGCTTCGGAGCTGATTTGACGAATCAGATGACACACACGAAACCCACACTCACACACATTCAAAATCAACTTTTGTTGCCAGTGATTTGTTGATTTGTGCAGATCAAAGCTTTAATATTAATGATTTCATCAGGTTTTTCATACTAGAAACATGGCAGCTTGTGTCTTCTCCAGACCATTGCCCGTTCTTCTGACACAAGCGTACTGCTGATCCTCTCAGTGTGTAGCCCTCGTCACAGGAAAACTGGACTTTGGCTCCTTTTAAGTAGGTGGTCCCCAGCTTTTTCCCATTATTTGGTGGTGGGATCCATCCACAGGATAACACTGCATGTTAAAAAAAACAATGTGATCACAAATTTGACTTGATGTTCTTTTTTAGCGGTTCTTTAAAACTGCTTACCAGGCTTTAGATCATTCACAAGAGAAATGTGACTCTGAAAAGAAACTCTGGTTGCATTTCCCATGGCTGGACTGCGACCTACAAGAATATCATACCTGCAGAACAATAAACAGGGTTAAATGGTAACACTTCCTTTTACAGTCCCTTAATTACTAAGTACTTACGTGGCAATTACGTAGTAAGTTAAAGTGTATTATTGTGCAATTAAAGTCTATAATTGTAATAAAGTCTAATTATTGTGTAAATCAGTATTTACTTGGAATGATTAATAAAAGTAAAAACTAGAATTGAACCAGAGATACATAACAAGGGCGTCAGTTTATTTTCAGAATTGCTGGGGACAATAACCATACACTTGAGTGGGGCTTAAAAATTGCTGGGGACAATAAAGTAGGCTAGCACAGCGGTCGGCAACCCGCGGCTCTTCCATCCATCTGATGTGGCTCTCTGTACTTTTAAAATAATGAATGGATATTTAAATAAAATGCTTTATATTTTACTGCATTAATTTTACATCTGTATGCCAATTCTAAATGTAAAGATTGTCTGTAAACCTGAACAGGTCCAACCCGGTCGTACTGTGAGACCGGGTTGACGCGTCACGCTTGTGCGTAATCATGCGCTTCTGAGCTGCTTTCTGACCTTCCCCACCTACAAAGTTTAATTACAACAATCAAACGTGACAGAGCCTGGATTTGTATTCTGAACAGTCTAAACACGTTTTAAAAAGAAACGTATGACAAAAGTGGCACCTGCTCAGTAAAACCACCAACAGGGTGAAAAATACCAAAAATTGAAGGCAGAGACGGGCTACAGCTTCTGGATCCACTTTATTTAATCGTTTTATTGATTATCTTCTTACGAAAGATAACTTTGACGTACACGAGCGACCAGGCGCGTTGCAAGCTTTTCAATAGTGTGGGGGATGTTGTCTGTGCCTAAAATAAGTTCATGTTATTCATCTTGTTAGTTTAATTTCCATAAGAGCGGAGCAGGTACGAATTTTAGACGCGTCACGCACGTCTCCGTTTTAAACATGTTTAAACTGTTCAGAATACAAATCCAGGCTCTGTCTCGTTATATTGGTGTAACTAAAGTTTGTACTGAATGAAACTTTACATTAAACCATGTTGAAAAGAAAAGGATCCGATTAAATCGTTTCCCCTCACTTACAGTCAGTACAGCGCAGTGCGCATGGCTCTGGGGTTAATCAGGTTTAATTGTTTCTCTTTGCAACAATCTTCACAAGAAGGCAAAACAGTTAAATGACAGGTTACAGATATTTCCATTTGACTGTTTATTTTGACGGATAAACTCAAGGATGTTGGTTGATTTCCTCCCACTGAAGCGGTCTGGAAACCCGGTCTCTCTGAGGGATGTGTCACTTGGAAAAAATTTATTTTTATGAAATTATTAAACTTTGGCTGAACAGCGCTTGTTCCCGTCTCTAATATGGAGATGCATGACGCATCCAGTCTGAGGCAGAATCGCCTCTTCAGCTCAGAAAGCACCTGTAGAGACATTTGATCACGCACAAAGTTTATGTGGAGCAGAAGCGGTCGGGCCACGGCAGGTGGAATGTTCCTAGCCTACATGAAGTAAAACTGTTTAATTGTAACATTAATATGTTACTGGACACGCTGGTCTGGTTGGTTAGACCAGTGTTTGATGTGGAAAACACACACACACACACACACACACACACACACACACACACACACACACACACACACACACCAATTAACATAATGCTGATAGCGTGGACTAGAAGACAGGTGATGGTTTACGTATTTAGATGATGATCAGGCTGCTGTAAAATGTAATCTCCATCCACATCCAGACACAATTATCCTCTATTCTTTCTCTAGTTGCTCTGCTCTTGTCTGGGCTGACAGCTGACAGTGCGCGCGGTGCGCCTAGTGGCTGTGATGCACATTTTACGCATTTGGAGAGGTGGGCTGGATGCTGGAAGATGGTCCACTTAACGCACGGGTGTAGACTACATATTAATGACAAATGAATGAAAATTAAATTGTGAGTTTTTACTTCATATTTTAGAAATAAAAATGACGGGGGAACACATTTATGACGTGTTTTTAAACGAGATTTTCTAGCGCGACCTGCCTGCTTCACTTAAGTCTCTGCTTATTAAGGTCCGTCCAGAATTACCGTGGCCCACCCAAAAATGAAAACCTGGCGCTGTGCCTGTTATAAACCTCTGCAAATTATTGTTCTTCACTTGATCAAACTCAGACTTTGTACAGCTAATGTCAAGATGTAAAATTATGAATTCAGTCGAGCTCTTCCGTCCCTCTCTCTCCTGCTCTCCTTGAACCCGACATCGGCTGTCAGAATAGGGGAGGTGAAGAAGGAGATGAGGCAAACAGAGTGAGTGCGACCTAAAGAAACCAGACTGGTGTGGAGGTGAGCAAAACAGCTGGAAAAGTGTGGGTGTTGAATCCCCCACGGGTGCGACGCCCATGGTACCGGCTGCTGTCACCTGTTGTGAGCAGCTCTCTGCTGTCTGAGGGTAGGCCCCGCCCACAACGCTGCGCTGCTGTGGCTCCCAGTGTTTTCATTACTGTGGGAAATGGGTAATAATGGCTCTTTGATGGGAACAGGTTGCCGACCCCCGGTATAAGATCTGAGCTGGTAAAACAAAAATCCTCATCAGCAGGCTTTTTTGAAAGTGGGGGGGACACAGCTGCCAATCACAAATTTTGCCGGGGACATGTCCCCGGCGTCCCCGGTTAAAATGACGCCTATGCATGGTAAAAACTGTTTAAGAACACAGAAACAATAATACACTTTAGCTTACTATGTAATTACCATGAAGATACTTAGTAATTAGGGGACTGTAAAAGGAAGCGTTACCAGATTAATAGTCTAAACCAGAACCTTTGAGGTACAGAGTTCAGACACTCACGTAGGCCACAATAGAAGGTGAAAGTAACGTCGGCCTTGGAGGAAGTTCAGATAGTTCTTAACACCAATGGTTCCACCATTGAACACTGTTCATTCTCTGTGTTTTTGAGCTTCTTTCCTCCAGCAAGTTGATGAAATTACCGGTACAACATTTTGGCATTGTGAAGCGTTAGCTCACTGCCTCAAACCAAAATAAGTCAATAATGACTTTTCATGTAGCCAGTTTCATCATGTTAACCTGCTGAACACACACACTTTATTGTTACGGGCCTGTATTTGTGGATTAAACGTTCCTATTTCTGTCAGATTCAGCTTTTTAAACTATTCAGCACAGTTTTAAATCAAGATGGGTGAGTTCATGAATGTGATGTGACGTACATCTGTCAGGATTTTCAAATCCTGGAGTTTTACCATCTCTTTTCTATCAGAAGCTAATGCAGTAGATTGGTGTTGGAGACTATTTACATGTTCAGCCTGCATGAAAAACTCAGAGTGAGCGTTTATAATCAGAAATAAGAATTAAAAAATAGTTTTTCAGTGTTCCACACCTTTAAAGCAGACTTGTCTGTGATTTAGTTTAGTTTAGTTTAGTTTAGTTTAGTTTTGTTTTCTACCTGCAGAACTGTGATCCGTGTCCAGAGCAGATCTGAGCAGCTTGATCAGAAAGCGGGTCATCTGGACTCTCAGGGACAGAAAACACTGGGACAAAACTGCTGTCATGTCTGGGTTTGTAGTAATAAGTGTTTAGAAGATATTCAGAGTCGTACGTGAACAATGCAGATGTGTTCAGCACCGCCCCTGTCAGATAAAAACAAGTTCCTGTTCACCAGTGAACCATCACACAGTAAATTCAAGTTCCTCTTACAGACTTCTTACAGCTCGCCCCGAAGTTGAACAGCTCCACTGGATCGCTTGGGTTCCCCACAAGCTGCCCACTGCTGGAGACCAGGTCGTCTTTGGCATCACCGTTCATCTTTCCCAACAGTCCCAGAGTTGAGTTCTTAAACCCCTCTGGCAGGAGGACAGTGGTCGTCATGGTTACGTCCCTCAGGCGCACTTCCACGCCAGCTCCAGATGGGAACATCACGGTCACGTTAGTGGAGGTCGGGGAAAACACGAACACACCTGCAGAATAATTGTTAAAGAGGAGAAGAAGAACAAATTGTGAGGAAAAGTATATATTCTTGAATCAAAACTGATTTAATTCTTGTTAGTATACTTTTTTTAAGTGTTACAGTGAGAAACGGAATGCTTTGTTGCTATTAAATTGGTGTAAGTTTTTTCTTCAGATCGACAAATTTTAACAATGGTCAAATTTCTGCGTGCCGACAGACAGAGAAGGCAATTGTTTGGGGCCCCCAGAGAGCCTACAAACTTTGAACCATTGAGGCAGGACTTTGTGCTTGTGTTACCATGACAACCTTGCAACGCCACCTACAATGTTGATGAGAATATTGTATTGCTGGTTAGTGGTTGTTTTTTGTTCTTAAAACTTTAACATGGCTGACCTTATGACCCCAGTGTGCGCTGGTAACAAAGTTCTACTGTAGTCCAAAACCAGAGCTTCATGTTTAGACCTTGTGCAAAGTTTCTGGGTGCAGAAGACTTTAGCACACAAAGATCCGGGATGATTTGGAGAAATTTTTTCTATGAGAAAAAAAGTCAAATAAAGTTAAATATGCTCAAAAGTCTCCAGAACAAGCTGAAGGTTTTCATAATTAAATGGCTGAAACCAGGACAGATGTGTGTGTGTACTTAGTTGCAGAAACCAAACTGAAAAAAAAAAACTACAGAAAAAGCTGATTCAGCTGTCAATGCTAAAATTTTTTCCAAAAGAGACTCTGAAAGGGAAGAGAAAAGCACTTTTTTTTAATAAAATAAAGGTACAAAATTTAATTTCCTGCCAAACTGAGTAAAAGCAATAAAAAACTTTCCTTCACACATGTTTTCTTTAAACTGACAATGTGTAGTTTTTATTGTTAATCTCTGGGAATATCCAATATAAAATATTGATGCCCAGGGAACGATATTTGCGGTTTCATTACATATAACCATAAAAATCTGGTCTAAAATACATGGGAGTGGGTCTGGGGCCCAATCCCAACACTCGCACTGTGCCCCACGGTCTTCTGTGAAGTACACTTGGAGGAAGTGCACAGTACACAAGTGTGCAAATAATTGCAGCAATGAGAGAGGGAACATTGTGTAATCAACCACTGGGATGATGTTCACTGTGATACTTAAAAATAACTTTATTAACAACTTTCAAGCAAACAACAAAACAATTATTTTAAATAAACCTATTTTCATTGCTGTTTTGTCTAAAGGTTTCAGAATGTCAACTAATTGTCCTAAAATGAACTACTTTCATTAGAAAATACATATTTTCAGAAAAGGCACTTGAGCCAATTCTCCCGCAGCAATGGGTTCTGAACATGAGTTATTATTATAATGTATTGATGCATGGTTGTGTCAGAACCCAAGCCCCCGGACTGGCCTCTCCCAGCTAACCGGCCTCCATCTTGGACCACATTTCCCAGCATGCTCCTCGCGGGAACTCCCGGCATTCTCCCAGTCACACCCAAGCCTATATATGGAAGATGCCGCACCGGCTCTTCACTCAGTCATCGTTTCACTGAAACCCATGATCAGAGTTCTCTACCTAATAATCCAGACATCAAACATCCTTACCAGGCTCAACTCCCGTACCCAGTCGACCATCGTGACAGGTTGGATGAAGTGTGAATTAAGGGTAAAAAAAAAGGGGCATGATCGACTTTCGCACTTGAGAATTGGGACACCCTACGCACTCACACCCTTGAACGGGATCAAGCAATTGAAGGGCGCAAGTGTGGAAGTGCAATGGAAGAGTATTGGGATTGGGCCCAAGTCTCTGGGTGATCCCCTATTACCCACCATTTTTCCTACTATGGGAGCCCGTGAGGACAAAATGAATAATCTCACCATGCAGGTCCATCCACGTTTGCTCAGTAAAGATGAGCGTTTGCTGATTTCGCAGCACTTCCAGGCCATCGTGTCCACTGACCAAACGAACTTCAATGACATCAGACGAAGATTCTCTCATGGCTACAGACGTCAACTTTGTAGCATTTATTGTATTTTCTAAAATATTAGATTGACTTAATTAGTGGTGAGGGGGATCTTTTATCCATCTGTGTGCTTGGACCAGCATCTCACCATCCACAGGTTCTGTTCTGCCTTGGATCTGCAGCTGTTTCTCGTCGGACGTGACCAAAGTGTATTCTCCTTTTCCATTGAATGAGTAGCTGGCGCCATCAAACGTCATAAAGTGTGGATCCCCAAACACCACCGCTGATGTTTAAAATAAGAAAAAATTAACAAAAAGTAAGAATCTGAAAAGCCGCAGGGGCGTAGTTAGCCTACCTGAGCTGGGAGCCTGGTAGCGCCTGCAGTCACTGGAGGGACGGTGTTTAAAGTAGTAGTGGCAGTTATCGGACCAGAGGCAGCAGTAATAAAAGCTGAGGACATCATAAACCCAGTGGGACTGTCCTGGAATCCGAGGGGGCTTCTTGTAGGGAGGGGACCCCCAGTCGTGAGCTCGGTCTGGAGTGCTACCCCCAATTGAGTCAGCTGTCAGAACCTGAGCACCAGTGCTGTCGTAACAACACTGCTGTCCAGCTGCATATTTAGGACTGGAAATAAACAGTTATGCTTAAGAGGTTGTGTTTTAGAACGCCTGAAGGAGGTTCCAAATATGTTTGGATAAGTGTTATGGACATTTTATATTTCATTACCTCAGTCCTATTTACAAATCTATTAACTGAATGTCCTGAAAGCATTCACACACACACACACACACACACACACACACACACACACACACACACACACACACACACACACACACACACACACACACACACACACACACACACACACATTCTTGTCCTCCCATACACACACACACACTCTCTCTCCCACACATGATCCACTCCCATTCCTCTCTTATCTCTCTGTTTAAATAAACTCTGTGACCAGCTGTTCAGGGCACTTGACACTAAATCATGATTTGGTTGTATTTCTCCTTTATTGATTCTTCTCTCTCTCTCTCTCTAGCTGCAGGAAATGGGTTTATTGGTAAACATATTGATAAAATCCATGACAATAAGTGTGGTTAATATTTACTATTATTATTTTCCCCTCATTCACAGACTTTCGGAGACAAAAAGCCAAATGTGGGAAAAGCCACAAGTGACCAATACGCCCCCTAGTGTCTGGCTGCATTTAAAGCTTTTAGTCCTGCCAAATTAGACCTTTTCTTGACTTTAAAAAAAACATTTTTGATGGGAAATGTCAAGTGTTGGTTTTTGTTGATTCAAGTGTTGCTTATTTTTCTGCCATTTGTTCAAATGTTATTTTTCCTATCTATGTTAACTTTTTTCATGCTTAAATAAAACACCATGATTGTGTGTGGGGGAGTAAGCAGGACGATCCTAAGTGCAAAGACTGGACCCAATATGTGCTACATTCATTTATATTATCTTTTATATACTTTTCTATAAACTGATCTGCATAACAGGGCAGCAGAAGCTCAGGTGGTAGAGCGGGTTGCCTCATGATCGTAGGCTCATGGGTTCGGTTCCAGCTCCCGCCAGGGGTATCCTGCTGTTGTGTCCTTGGGCAAGACACTTCACCCAACTTGCCTGTGTTAGTAGTGGTCAGAGGGACCGACGGCGCCAAATGGCAGCCTCGCCTCTGTCAGACCTCCCCAGGGCGGCTGTGGCTACAAGTAGCTTACCATCACTAGCAGTGTGTGAATGTGAGAGTGTGTGAAAGTGTCTTTGGGTGTCTTGAAAAGCGCTACATAAGTTCAATGCATTATTATTATTATTATTATTATTATTATTATTATTGTTATAACAAATGTAACACTTCAAACTTAAAAATAAATATCTCATGGAGTAAATAAATGTTTAGTTGTGAGGGACAAGGTTTTGTTAGACTCACCTGGCTTGTATAGCCCTCACACAGTGAACACTCCCAGGATGGTAGGTGCATACACTCCCTTTCTCTATATCACAGCCATAATCAGTCTGAGGACAGAAGGGCAGATCTACTCTTACTGACCATTAATATGACCATTTGATGTGTCAAATAAACATCTCACCCTTAAAAGCCTACAATATAAAATAATTAGTTATGACAAAAGATCTAATTGGAACCTAACTTTCAAAACAAACACATTTATAAGTATCTGTTTTATTGCTATATGTAATTAAACAATAACAATTACATAAATATAATCAAACAATAATGTAATAATATGATAAAAAGTAAATTACTGTAATTAATTATTAACTAATTTAATGTGACAATATAACAGTAATAAAAAATTTAATTGGCTCTTTCCACCTCTACCAGGGGGTAATTGACATGAATAGGACTGGATAGAAGTCTAGAAGTGATTGGATGCAACATCATGTGTGTTTGTTAAACGGACTTGGCCTTGATGCTACGAAGATTAGCTGCATCTAAATGTTATAGTCCAAAACCCACACAGTTAGCATCCACAGCTTGACAAAAGTGAACTATAGAGCCAAACATGTGGATCCGCTTCCTACAGAAATAACTTTGTGACTTTGAACTGTAAAGACCACCATCAAGTCATCATAAAAAGCTACAATTAGAAGAACTCTTCTTGACTTTAAACAGGTGACTAAAAACTATTAACTAAGGAACTAAATCATGGGATGTTATAACTCATAAATTAAGGCTGGGCAGCTAATTAAAGATCTCTTCTCTTATTATGCTTTAATTCAACTTAATAAATCAAGTCAGTTTATTTATATAGTACAAATTCACTACAAGACACTACACCACAAGCTTGACTCTCCCATTTTCCAGTTCCTTGGATGAGAAGTGAAACGTCTTCAAGAAGCCAAAGAATTCCAGTTGCCTTCATTTGAACCCTTTTGGATTACCATGCCCTGGATGGCTGAGAACCTTCACCAGCATATTGCAAGTGTTTTCTCAAAGCACTTCACAAAGTAAATACTCCAGTTGAACCTACTTAGTGCATTGAGTTCAGTTCATTATGTCAATCAGTTAAAAGTTTCCTAAATAAGGAAACCCAGCAGATCGCAGAGTCACTGACTTGTCCAAGACTGTACAGCAATCCTCACACTAAGCAAGCATGTGGCGACAGTGGAAAGGAAAACTCCCCTTTAACAGGAAGAAACCTCCAACAGAACCTGGCTCAGTATGAGTGGTCATCTGCCACGACTCACTGGGGTTTTGAGAAGACAGAGCACACACACACACACACACACGCACACACAAACACACACACACACACACAAACACACACACACACACTGGCCTGACTTGCCTGTCTATTCTACACAGAGGATGAGTCTGGATAGACAGAGGGCACCATGAGGGGCGGGACCAGCCAGCTCAAAAATAACCAATCAGAAAAAAAGCGGAAATGACAACTGCATCACGCAACACTTAACTGTAGTCAAAGATGGTCTCTGGCGATGGTGCAAACATCTATTTTTAGAAGAAAGGCTTTTAGCACTTCCTTTTGTTGTGGTTTAAAGACATGGGTTACTTGAATGGGAGTGTTAGCAGGCTCTTTGCTTCCCACAAGGACGCATTGGCATGGCTGGCCAGGCTAGTGTTTCTTTGGCTGCATACAATGCAATTTCTCAGTGGAGATTCCATTTCTGAACAAAATGTACTTTTTTGACTTTATCTGAGTAAATATGTAATTAATTAAACAGGTGAACTAGTATGCTGGGGGTACATTCTGCTTGGGACTTTAACGCTCATGTGGGCAGCGACAGTGAGACCTGGAGTGGTGCGGTGGTGAGGAACGACCCCCCCGATCTGAATTTGAGCGGTGTTTTGTTATTGGGCTTCTGTGCTCAACATGGATTGTCCATAATGAACATCATGTTGAGACATAAAGGTATCCATATGTGCTCTTGGCAACAGAGTACCTTAAGGCGCAGCTCAATGATCGACCTGGTTGTCATTTCATCACATCTGCGGCTGCATGTCTTGGACACTCGGGTGAAGAGAGGGGCAAAGCTGTCAACTGACCCCTACCTGGTGGTGAGTTGGCTTTGATGGTAGTGGAGGATGCCGGAATTGGAAGAGTCTACTGGGAACGTCTGGTGGAGTCTCCTGTCAGAAAAAGATTCAATTCTCACCTCCAACAGAACTTCCAAACTGTTCCGGGGGGGGGGGGGGGGGGGGGGGGGGCATTGAGACTCCAGAGGCAACTGATAGGTATGGACAGGCCACGTGCAATGCTGCTTGGGTAGTCACGGAGGCAAAAACCCGAGCTGTAGGGAATTTGGTGAGACCATCGAGAAAGACTTCTACACTGCTTCGAGGACATTCTGGTCCACCATTCGGTGCCTCAGGAGGGAAAAGCAGTGCACTACTAGCATTATTTATAGTGGGGATGATACGCTGCTGACCTCTACTCGGGAAGTTGTAGATCAATGGGCGGACTTCTTTGAAGCCCTCAGTCCCACTGGCACATTTTCCAGTGAGGAAGCAGAGTCCGGGAAATTGGCGTTGGGATCTCCGATCTGTGGTACTGAGGTCACTGAAGTGGTCAAAAAGCTCCTCAGTGGCAAGTATGAAGGGGTGGATAAGATCTGTCCAGAGTTCCTTAAGGCTCTGGATGTTGTAGGACTGTGTTGGTTGACATGGTTCAGTAGTATTGCGTGGACATCGGGGGCAGTCCCACTGGATTGGCAGACCCGGGTCATGATCCCCCTATTTAATGAGGGGACTGCAGAATGTGTTCCAACTACAAACGGATCACACTCCTGAGCCTCCCTGCTAAAGTCTATTCAGGGGTTCTGGAGAGGAGGGTCCAACGGATTGTAGAACCTCTGACTCAGGAGGAACAGTGTGGTTTTCGTACTGTCCGTGGAGCACTAGACCAGCTCTATACCCTTAGAGGGATCCTTTAGGGTGTGTGGGAGTTTGCCCAACCATTCTACATGTGTTTTGTAGATTCAGAGAAAGCATTTGATCGTGTCCCTCGGGGGTACTTCGGAAGTATGGGGTACCAGGCCCTCTGATATTGGCTGTTAGGTCCCTGTATGACCAGTGTCAGAGCTTGGTCTGCATTGCCACCAGTAAAGCCTGATTCGTGCTTCTCCATCAGCTCCGCAAGGGACAGACACGCACGGATTGATGGAAGCTTTTTGCTCTCATGTTTCTCCGTCTCCTGGGGAGTGTTGCAAAGCAATTGCCTGGCAGGACAACAGAGGGTGTAGCGCTGTTCTGTGGTACCCTGTCATTTATCGGTCCAGGATAGTGTGTTTATATTGTGTTTTTTGTATGTAAGAGACTTTTTAACACAGACAAATTTGTTTCTCATCCTCCTCCACCTTTTGATGCGCTCACCACCTCTAAACCCTCGTTTCCTGTCATTTCCATCCACAGATAAAACGCTTGCTGCGCATCTTTTCACTCCTCCAGTCACAGGGAATTAAACGTTCATGTTTTTAGAGTTTTTTCGCGAGGTATTCTTTAAGCTGCTCCGTGTCTGCTGCTAGTTATCCTCGGCTCTTTTTATGTTTTTGAGGGAGCAATGGCGGCGGTGTAGACGACAGCGGCATCCCTGACCAATCACAAGCTTGTGTTGTCCGTCTCGACTGACGGATGTTTAGAAAAGAGAGCTCGACTCCATCCGTCCTTGCGGAGCTCTCCAGCAGATCCGCAAGGACGTTGCGTGTCTCTGCACTGACGCATACGGAGAAGCATGAATCAGGCTTAAGTTGAGCTCATTTTCTGTGAGAGTTGGACTCCGCCCAGAATGCCTTTTGTCACAGATTCTGTTCATGACTTTTATGGACAGAATTTCTAGGCACAGCCATGGTTTTGAGGGGATCCGTTCTAGTGACCTGAGGATCAGGTCTCTGCTTTTTGCAGATGATGTCGTCCTGTTGGCTTCATCAAAATGTGACCGCCGGCTCTCACTAGAGCGGTTTGCAGCCAAGTGTGACGCAGCTGGGGTGAGAATCAGCTTCTCTAATCCCGGACCATGGTCTTAGGTCAGAAAAGGGTAGAAGGCCTTCTCAGGGTCAGGGATGAGGTCCTGCCCCAAGTGGAGGAGTTTAAGTATCTCGGGGTCTTGTTCACGAGTGAGGGAAAGATGGAGCGTGAGATCGATAGACGGATTGGTGCTGCATCTGCAGTGATGCAGGCATTGTATCAATGTGTCGTGGTAAAGAGAGAGCTACGCCGGGAAGCAAAGCGTTTGATGTCGATTTACATTCCTACCGTTACCTATGGCCACAAGATTTGGGTAGTGGCGGAAAGAATGAGATCGCGTATACAAGCGGCCAAAATGAGTTTTCTTTACAAGGTGTCTGGGCTCTTCCTTAGAGATAGGGTGAGAAGCTTGGTTTTCCAGGAGCTGTTGGAAGTAGGCCCGCTGCTCCTCCACATCCAGAGGAACGAGTTGATGTGGCTCTGGCATCTAGGTAGGATGTCTCCTGAATGCCTCCCTGGTGAGGTTTTCCAGGCACATTCAACTGGCAGAAGAACTGAAGGAAAACCCAGGACACACTGGAGGAACTATGTCTCTCTTGGCTGGCAAGAGAACACCTTAGGATTTCTTCAGAGGAGCTGGCTCAATAAGCTGGGGAGAAGGAAGGCTGGGCCTCCCCGCTTAGGCTACTGCCCCCACGACCTGACTTCAGATAAGCGGACAAAAATGGATGAGATGGATGGACGAAGGTGAACTACTAGTAGCACTTTTCATGTTAAAAAAAGTAATATTACGAAAGGGAGAATGTTTAGTGGTTGACAGTTGTGAGTCACCAAACGATAATTGCTTTGTTATTCTAAAATAGAAAAGTCAATGAAGACCTTGTTCTGACAAGTTTCAAATGTATCATCTGTCACACCTCATTTGTATAATTTTTATAGATCATCTTGGTTTTTTAAAAATATTTGTTTGTGGGGCAACTTTCTCCAATTACAGTGGCTTGGTTGCGAGGAAACACAGCCAAATCTAATGTTTTCTCCTCCTCTCACCTACATGAAACCTCCCTGTGTCTGCTCTAGCTTGAGCCAGTGTGCAGGGACAATCGATGATCTCACTGAGGAAGTTGGGAAGCTGATTTTCCATCTGGTCCCAGGATAAACATTTCTCCAGGGACCAAACTGCTGAGTCATGCCTGAACTTTTCCTCCAGATGCCAGGCCAGAGCGTGATCCTCGGTCCACGCCGCTTGAACGTTCCTATATAAAACACACATTTAACCTCTTTCTACACACATAGTGGTCATTTTACTTCTTGGGAAAAGGGTCTTCTCTGACATACCTCATACCATCAGGGTAAACACTGGAGCTGATGCGAAGAGAACCAAGTTCCCAACTTGAAAAGCTGCTTTCTGCTGGTTTGGGCATGAAACTAAAAGAGCCGCTGTTGGGTTGATCCTTTGCAAGTGAATACAAATACAACCATTCCCCCAGCCAGTGCTCTGAATATGGCTCTCCTGTAGAAAAATATAACGTTTTCCTGAATGAATGCAATCACTTCATCTCTGAGGTGTTTACATTTTCCTCACCTGTCTCTCTGTAACCCCAGAGCTCTATGTTGACCTTCTCAGCATTCACTAGAGATGTGTCCCATGTCATCTGAAGAAGGCCTCCAACGTTCGGCGTGCCATAATACTGCCACTTTGTTGAATTCACCAGAACAGCTTTTAATCGGGAATCCAGCTTCCCTGTGTGAACTGGAGCAGCGCAGGAATCCAATTAACAAACCGGAAGAGTTTCCAGGTGCATTCAGGCATCTTACCTGAGAACCAGGCTCCAGCTCTGTTAAATGTAGTTCCGTTATCTGAGGAGATGTGCAGAGGAACCCAACCTGTTTCGTACAACAGTGGGGAGATGCAGTGACCTCGTCCATGTGCATCCACGTACCCCTCAGTGGTAACGGTATTGTCAAACCTGATGTAGATAGCACAAAGGTGAGGTTCCCTGAACCAGTCAGAACTTGAATCTTGAGGAGTAGAACAGTTACTTGCCTACAAACAATCTGAGAACTCCTGTTGAAAACTGCATGGAGGACAACAAAGTCCGTTCCACCGAAGATGGAGCCAGAGTACGGATATGTGTCCACACAGAAGTCTCTGTAGTCAGAGCAGCAATTCTTCAGAGACGAACACGTTGGAAGGCATGAACATGACGAAGGTTTTTTACCACAGTTTTCTTCACATGTTTGTCCTGTACAAAGCAAAGAAGCAGAGATACTGAGAGATAATTAAAGAGGGGCCATACACCATCAGAAAGTGTAACTCCATCCCTAGTCAAGATTTGAAAAATGCTGTGAAAGTGGGCGTTGCCAGGATGCACAGAGTGGCATGGCCAAGTGAATTTCCATCCTGGGAGGGAGGGGGAGTGGGAGGAGACTGTACCGATGTACCAGCTCCAGGCAATCACAAATTTAAAATGCAGTAGCCTCGGTTCTGCCACAGGGGGCAGCACTAAGATGTTTTTAGACCTAGATTCTAGATTTAGTCAAGTTTACACAAACATGTCAAAAATGGACAGAAACAGAAAGATTGCATTTGTAAAGACTCAATTATACAGTTTTTAAGCAAAAAAAAAGTTATTTTGGGGTTTAGTTACTCTTTAATTAATAAATTTTTCTTGTTTAGAACTTTATATCCTCCTAACCCACACCCTGGTAAGGTCTGCCGGGTCACCTCAACATGACAAACAGATGTCATTAAAACTGTTCAAATAGATTTGGCTCAGAACGTAAAAATCAAGTATTTTTCTTTAGCAGGAATTGGGTCAGTTAAACCCTTCAAAATAAAAGTATTAGTTCAGTTTAGTTTAATTTAGTTCAGTTTTATTGAACAAGGACAGCACAAAATACATTGTTACATGTAAAGGCAATGCAATCGTTGTTTTGTACAGAGGTTTTCTAGCCGGAGGCTAAGTTGCACACCTGGACCTTGGTTGGACTTTTAGAGACAATCAAATAACTGCATTTATGGCATTTATCACCACACACACACACACACACACACACACACACACACACACACACACACACACACACACACACACACACACACACACACACACACACACAAACACACAATCAATGCAAATAAAAAAGTTGCTGATCGTAACATCAGTGTTCACAAGTTTTATTTTGTTTATTGGGTTTATTAAATCAACTAACATAGTTGAGCCTTTGTTTATGAGCATTTTTTTTAGTTCTAAATGTAATTACTGAATATTTCAAAGTGTTTCATGACACTTTTGTTTGAAAATTTAGCAGAAAATGAGCAACAAGAACAATTATGAGCTAGAACATGGAAAGTTGTATTATTTATTTGAAATGTTTGCAAAGTTCACACTGCGTATCTTCAAGGAAGTCTAAAGGAGACACAGACTTTGTCTTTAGTATGTGTCCTAGAGCAGGACGCAGAGAAAAAGAGCTGGATTTAGGTTTAAAAACAAAGAGAAGTTCAATGTGTACATGAAATAATAATAACAATAATAATAATAAAATCTGCCTTTTATCTTTAACGTTGCCAGAAAATGTACTCATTTGCACAAAAGTGAGCAGATCATACTTGATTTTTTATTAATGTTCTGTATGTTTTATGACTACATTTTGTGTTCAAATGCATTTAACTTTAAGTTCTGTTTAAAACTCAAATGACTGAAGGACTTAGTCCTGAATCACATCTGAGACCGTTATGTTTACTGATCAGAATAAAGTTGGAGATACTTGCCTGAAGTCCTGCTGACAAATAAAATCACAAGCATAAATTTTAAAGCAACCAGTCCTCTCATTCTGGCAGAAATCAGCTGCTTCTATAAGTTTCTTACGCCGCTGCTCTGGTCAGCTTTTTTTCTTCTAAACCTTGGACCTTTATGCTTAATCAGTAACCAGCGTCTTCATTATCAGTGTTCAGCTTACGTGTCAAACTCTAATCTGTGACAAATGTTTAATTTCCATGAAATCCACATAATTTCCTCTTTATCTTTACATCAAGAAAACAATGTGGAAATATTGAAACTTAAATTCATTCAAGAAAGACAAATTAAGAACCAAATGATATATTTTAAGTGTTTAAAGAATAATTTTATTGTAAACTGAAATAAATCAACAATAATACAATACAGGGTTGCTTTATGACATTAAAATTATTTTTTTCAGTACGCACTAAACTTAGTAAGCCATTTGTTTTTTGTATTGGGATTAAAAAGACATTAAATGGTGTATTAAGGAAAACATGAGGAAAAGGTAAAGAACCATAATTTGAAGCATGCGGATAAATCTAAAAGCTAAATCACAAAAATCTTTTAAAAAAATGACCCTGATTTAAATGAGACGACAGCTTTGCAGATTTTCTTTGATGAAGCTGCAAAGCAAAACAATTCAAGAATTTGATTTTAACTAAACTCGTCGGTAAGTTCCACCGACGTCCAGCAGGGGAAGCTGCTAAATAAAGACGATGTTCTAATTTTAGTTTTTGCTTTAATAAACTCTGAAAATGTTCATAAAGATAAAAACTCAAAACGCAGCTTCCATATAAAGGTGTGGCAATGTTAAGCCCTAATAAATGTTGCAGTCATGGCTTCAGAAATATGTTATCATTTTACTGAACATTAAAAACAAAAAATCTTCAGTTTTTAGTTGATTCTGTTCTAGGATCAGTTACTTCAGAGGTGATTTACACCCAAACATCATCTACATGAACAAGCTTTATAACTACATTTATTGGCAGGATCTGTGCATCAACAGATAAACTCTGACATTAATCTAAAGATGCAAACTTAAAAAAAGTCAGCTGATGTAAATTTTTGAAAACAGGTGGTGAGCTGTGTAGCATGGCTGCTGACTCAGGACCACTACGAGCACCATGTGATCCTGCATATTCTTCATCTGGACTTGACTCTCGTTGATTCCTAGAAAACACACAGAGCTCAATCATGTCTTGAAAAATAAACCACCTTTACATAAACTCCACACTCACCACCATCAAGTGGCCATTCTTTGCCCTGTAGACCATGGACTCCTGACCACTTTTGAAGTCCACAAACCCTTCTCTGCCAGGCTGGATGTCAAATCTCACACTGAATAAAAAAAATGTTAAAAACACATATTTACATTGAGCTGTAATAGTATTGAATGTTGGCTCCAGTAGTCCAGATTTTGTACCTCCCCTGGACCACTTTGACGCAGCTCTGCTTGTCAGCAACAACACTCAGTTTAGTCAGAGCTTCATACAGGTAGTCGCACTGCAGAACCAGATCCCCCTGAAAAGGTTACAGCAAACGGATCACTAAAATACTGCAGCTATTCACTAGTTTAATAAGTAAACCAATCATGTGCATCTTATTTAGTCAGCTCAGGTGTGTAAGTACATCTACCTTTTGTTTGATATCATCACAGGTAACATGAAAGATGAGGAAGTTGTCACTTAGGTTGCTCACAGACACACCTAGAGTAGAAGTTGCCTTTAAAACCAACAATGAACCAATGATGTGCATATGTTTAAGCATCTATAAACTAAGCAGCTGAGAGAACCACCTGATCCTAATCCTAATCCAGGGCACAAAACTGGAAGACAACAAAGAAGAAGACATAACAATCATTTATATAATGTCTCTCAAGAACAAAAATAAAATGATTTAAAAAATCGTGAAAATGGGAAAAGTAAAGATTTCTGATTTAAAAATTGTGAGAACAGGGAAAAAAAGAAAATTTATAAGAAAATGGTAATCAATGGGTCATGGGAGAAGGCAGCATTGGTAGAAAAAGCAGAATGAGGAGAAGGTTATAATGAAAACTACAGACATATTGAAAAATAACAAGTATCTCTGGTTTCTTCTGTTGCTGAAAATAGAAACCATGAGATCCCATTCACGGGGGAGTTATGTTGTCATTAAGAAACAAATCAAACATCTCTAGGCTGACATAATTTTGGGGTTTTAGGAAATTATTCAACACAGATAAATGCTGGAGATCGACAAACGTAGGCACTGAAAAAAACACTATCAGAGATATATTTTTATTTCTAAATCAGGACATTGCCCCATCTGATTACATAGAGTGGGTGGGGCTTAAAACCTAAATTGGAACCAACCACTAGGGGGAGCCTTTGTTCCAACTGTTTGTGTCACGTGCTACCTCTTAGAGAGGCGTAATCGATTCTCTGCTTGATTTTTGCCTCTTCGATCAGGTAGGCGGCTTCTTGGGTGAAGATGAGCTGCCGAAGGCGAGGCCTGAAGCCGTTCCTGTCGTATTTCACCACTGGCACACTGTACTGTTGAGGAAAAACATCCACACAGAATGCATACTTTTATAATTAGGGTTTTAATAAAGAGTCATGGTTGTAATTTCATTCTTGATATCCTGACTAAAGGAAATCTTGGGAAAAAGGATAGATAAGATGAAAACAGAGATACAACCTGATCTGAGGTGTTTGTTCACCTTGATGTGTTCGTGTCGGATCAGCTGAAGGACCTTGATGTTTATGTCTTCTAAAGCTTCACAAAATATTTTTAAAAAGTATTAAATTAACAATGGAGCACTAAATAAACAATTTTATATGCACTAGTATTTGTAACGTCTGATATAAGAGGAAAATAACAAGTAGCGTCCTACCGATCCTAGTGTCCACAAACGGTCGGCCCACGCTGAAGGTGTAGTTTTCTTTTTTCCCTTTGAACATGGAGCTCGTCTGAACTTTCATCTGGAGCTAAAGAAGGAAGATTTTACTAAGTATGTTATTTTTTCACTTCACAAAGAACATTAAGTACTAATGCACATCATAAAGACACATCCCAACAATATCTAATTTTATCACATCATTTTTAGATTGTGTAAAACATCTGCAAAGTGGATGTAAATTCATTATACTTTGCATTCATAAAACTTCTCTTTAGTAGACTAAAGTCTCTGTTGCCGTAAATCCTCTAATATTAGCCTGTATTCAATTAACTGCCGGGTATCATATGTTGGCCGGTGTCTGAGTCGGCGGAGGTGAATAATGGCCGGTTTCTTATTGTGGCTGGGTGGAATGTGGTAACAAGCAAGTACGGGGGCGGTTGTGTCATCCGTCTCACTTTTGATTTGCCAGTGATAGACCGCGAGGGTAGCTTTAACCGTGCAGAGACAAAGAGGAGGCGAAAATTTGATATCAAGTTCAAAGAGAACGTGCTGATTATGCTGCAGAACACTCTGGGGAGCAGTAGCGGGGTTGTATGAACTAGTCACTAGTCGACTTCACCGCTCTATAGTGACGTTTTATGCCTGTCACCGACTAGTCGCTGTCACGTGATAATGACCGGCAAGATGCAGCCCTCGGAAAAGACAGCAGCCTGCTGTCAGCAGGTGACAAACTCCTGCGCATGGGGGGGGGCAACACGCTGTGCCAGAGCGTCGGTACTGACACGCGATCGTTCATGTCGGCACATTTCCTTTAATGTTTTCTGTCTTTTATTTGCGCCTGAAGCGTTTCGCTGCTGTGGATCGGGGCGCATCACCTTGTCCTCCGGTGACGCACTGATCACTGATGCGGCCACCAAGCAGCGAGCACTCCGCTGTTTTTGCGGTCGGTAGATCTTTTAGAACTGCAGTTCAAAGGTAACTCATAAGGTGAATATATATGAACCCAGGTAGCAGTTTCTCTTTAGGATTGAGAGGAGATGCAGGAAGATAATAAACAGACAGGACAGAAAAATAGTCAAATAAAAACAAGTTAGTTTTTGTACCTGCTGGTTGCAACAAACAGACACCATTGAAGGTAATCAGAAGGGAGGAACAGAAAATGAAATAATTATTTTAATGTTTAGAGCAGCAGGAACTCCGAGAGGCTGCAGGCGCATCAGTGAGTTTGCGGCCGCTGCGCAGGGGGAGGGGGGAGAGGGCTGAAGCAGAAACTACCGTTGTTAAAAGAAATGTGTTTAACTTTGAAAATGTGGGCACAATTTTAATTGTCAAAAACTCCAGCAAACCATTAGTTCATTTTGCTCAAATAGAAATTGAGGCCTGCCTCTAATTCTGGTCCTCCTTCCAATAAAGGCCTGGAGCTTGATGAGTTTGAGTCAAATACAGACCCGGGCCTGTATTAGAGGATTTACAGTATTCATGTTCTTCACCATCATCCTTAAAACGTTGGTTACAACATCAAACATATGATTGATCATTAAGCATGATCCATATTGGGGTTTTTTTAACCGATATCTGATATTGTCTAACTACTAATTTATGATACCGATATATGTGGATCCCACCTAATAAAAAAGGAAAACATAAATCATTTAGGTAGCTAACATCACATGTGCTTAAACATCATGAATGCTTAATAGAATAGAATAGAATAGAATAGAATAGACTTTATTGATCCCACAGTGGGGAAATGCACTTGTTACAGCATTTCCAACACTTAAAAGAAAAATCTGAAAAAGAAATTATGACAAAGGTACATGTACTGTATATACTCATAGGCAGTAAGCTAGTATTGTAACCTTCAACCACTAAAAACCACGAATAAAAATTGAGTGATAAAAGAATAAAAGGATTTTAGCAGATGGGAATTAAATCTGAAGGACCTCTGTCATGTTCTGTGTCCCTGTGATCCCCAGCCCTCTCCAGGTTGCCCTGAGGTGTCCCCTTGTGTTCTGCGTCCTTGTAGTCCCCAGCCCTTTTTGTCCCCAGCTCCCTCCAGGTTTCCCTCATGTTAGTCTCCCCCCTGTAGTTTTCTATAGGTTTAGAATTTCAGTTCTTTAGTCTCCTTTAGTGTGTGTGTTCCCTTCCCCACTTTAGATCATTTGTTTACTTATTTTTAGATTTCCCTGTGTCTTTGGTTCTACGGTGTTTAAGTTAAGTTTGGGTTATTTTAATAGCTTTGGTTTATAGGATTAAGATATGGGGTTTCTCCCCTGCCTTTTTCTACTTCTTCCCTCAGTTCATTAGTTTCACCTGTGCCCAATTCCCCACGCACATGCTCCTCGTCTCCTATCACCCAGCCCCTGTGTATATAACCCCGTCTGTGTCTCAGAGTTTGTCGGTCCATTGTTGTTAGTGAGTGTTGTTTTGTCCCCCCACTAGGTCTCTAGGTTTTTGCTAAAAGTGAGCTTTTTTTTTTAATCCCCCCCACCCCAGGGTTTGATGATAGGCTTGGCTTCATGCCCTTTTTGGATTTTTGGATTATCGTCAGCCTCCTCTAGAGGTGAAGGTGGCTTTGGCCCTTATACAGAGCATCTGTGTTGTTGGACCAGTTCAGTTTGCTGTTGAGGTGAACACCTAGACACTCATATGTTTCCACCACCTCAGTGTCTGCTCCCTGGATGTTTACTGGTGAGTGAGGGGGAGTGATTCTCTGGAAGCCAATCACCATTTCCTTTTGTTTTACTGGTGTTCAAGCAAAGATGGTTACACTCACACCAGTCAACAAAGTCCATGGTGGCTTATCTGTACTTCTGGTCATTCCCCTCAGACACACAGTTGATGAGGAAGTTGATGGTCCATGTAGTCAAATTTTCGTCCACTACTGCCCCCCTAATCTTCTGCTACAGTAGGCACGGCTGGATGGCGTTGAAAGCACTTGAAGTTGAAGAACACGATTCTTACTGTGCTTTTTTGCATCTTGAGATGAGTCAGCGCCCGGTGCTGCAGGTAGATGAGGGCATTCTCTACCTACATGTTTGACTCATATGCAAATTGCAGTGGGTCTATTTTCGGGCTAGCCACTGAACGTAGATGGGTGAGGATGAGTCCCTCCATAGTCTTTATCAGATGGGAGGTCAAGGTGACCGGTCTGTAGTGTTTAAGCTTTACCCCCACCCCCCCCCCACCCCACCCCCCCACCCTGTCCTATTGGGTGTGACCCTCCGAGGAAAGTTGACCATGGAGCAGGGTTGATGGTTTATCCCTTGGGTCCATGTGGCAGGGATGGGGAGTGATCACCACCTCACCCCTGCCACGTAGACCACAAGGGATCAATCCTGCTCAATGGTCAACTTCCCTCACGGGGTCACCCATTTGGACAGTGGGAGGGTTAAACATTATCCGTACAAAATTTAAACTACAATTTACGTATGCAATAGGAAAAAATATCCTGTTTAATTAATCTCCAACAGCAGCTGAATGACTTTTTCCCTGAGATAAGCCTGACTAAGGCTCTGTGACGCCTCAGATAAGTTCATTCAGATTAAGTTCATGACTGTAAAAAGTTTGATTGATAAATTAATACATAGCACAGGTAAATTAATGATAAAAGTAAAAATGTTGTAGGATTTGAAAACGGATCCAAGTGAGACATTGCTGTTACAAAAAAATCTTTGTTGTATTGTCTATGTGAAACGCAATAGGGGGAACACTCTCAACTCAAACATATCACAGAAGTGGTTTCTGTTTTCTTCCCTCCCCATTGTTTCGTTAATGACGCAAATAGAACATTAAATGGCTCACTAACACGGTAATCTTGCTTTATACGTTTGTACCTTGGAGAACATGTCTTTGTAGCCATCGATGTGTTCAGGGAATGTTTGAGCATGTGTTAAAGTTACTTAGTTCATAAAATGTAAGCAGTGTGAGCGCACACATGCTAAGGTAGGCTAATTGCTAAGTGCAACGCTAAGATGTGTTTGTCAGTAATTTATTTTTTTCTGTTTCCGTATATTGTAGTGACAAAACATTTCTAAAGATCTTCGTTAAAACAGGAAGCCATGGGTGAAGATTCTGGTTCTTGTTTTAGTTGCATCGCTAGCTGGCTACACACAGCTACATCTAAGGACAGCAGATTCTTTATACAGGGCAATTTCATAATTATTCACAAGTTGTGCCAAAAAAAACTAAATATCTCTAAAACTAAACCTCAGATATGTCCTATTTTTGTATTTTGAGAGAGAAGAGATGAAGCCGAAGAGTTTGATGTATAATATGTTCATGGTACAAATGTTGGGTCACTAAGGAGTAAAAACCGATACCAATATTTTGCAATATTACATTTTAAGGCCAATATCAGCTGATAATATTGGACATCCCTATTAATCACTGAATTCTATAGATGAGCATTTCATGGGTTCTTGAAATTAAGAGAATGTAGAGTAAACATGATTTTGATGTTATTTGTAGATTTCATGTAATATTTGTTACAAACATATTGAACTGTACCTGAGATCTCCTTTGAGGAGCAATCCCGCGGACATACTTCCTCACTAGTTGGCGACTGTAGATCTTGTGCAAGAGCTGGGAACACTACAAAAACACCAACAGATTAAAAATATAATAACTTTCATAAACTGTGAACTGCCCCCTGATGCACTTCAATGGCACATTCTAATTTCCTGTCTGGCTCATGCAATTTCTTTCTTTAACTTCATAACAATCTGCATGTGGCATCTGGAAAAAATAGACAACTTGTGACATTATTCCGGAGTTCCGAATCTGGATTCGCACAGCAAAGCAGCTGGTGTGAATGCTCTGATTGGACTCAATGGTTTTTCGATCCACGCAAAAGCCATATGGAATCTGTTCCACATTTGGTGTGAATGGCTTCAATCGCTATCATTCCTGATGTTCTGGCATCTTGCCTCTGACGGGCTAACAGCAACGTGACTCTTCCACGGTCTCCGTTTGCTCTGCATCGTTGATGTTTTATCCCCACACATAACACAAGCTTAAATTAGTTCTGCCATGTTGTGCCAAAATACTCCCTGCTCTCTCTTGGCTGCAAAAGTCAACACAGCCTTCCCTGGTCACAAGCCAAGATGGGTGTGTCCATGATTTTCAGTGTGACGAAGATCTACGTGGCTTTTTCTGACCCGAGCGTTTCCTCGTCTATTCTCTTTCAGCAGCTAATGCAGGAAATAGGGGTAAAATACTATTTTCACATTTAGCCTGCAAAGGTGTGGAACTCTGAAACTATTTTTAATGATTATGTCTGATTATAATCTGTCATTCTGAGTTTTTCATGTAGGCTGAACTTGAAAATAATCTCCTACACCCATCTCCTGCGTTTGCTTCTGATAAAAAATAGACAGTAAAACTCACGGATTGGAAAAGCATGACAGATCAATGTCACACTGTCACTTATCATGCATAGACTCACCCATCTTAACTCACAACGGTGAAGGCTGTTGTTAGTATAATGTCCAGGAATCAGCAGACAACAGCCTGACTAGTAGAAGCTAACCTTTAGCATTAGCAACGTCACTACACAGATAAACTCCTCCAGGCTTGTGTTATGTGTGGGGATAAAAAAATCCATGTTCCAAGTCAGTAGTAGAATCCTGTTACTGTTATCCAATCCGAGCTAGATGTCCAAATATCAGGAAAAATAACTCCAGATCCTGCCGTGCCTATGCCACTCTCTGAAGCAGCAGACTTGTCGGTGCTGATTCAAACTTTTCTGGGCTTTTTTTGTTCCAGGTACTGCTTGTAAGGCATTCATTCATACCAGAGACCACTGCAAATGTATTGATTAAACAAGTGAATCACACCTTTAACTTAGAGTGACTGATCATAGTTCTAAAGTAGCAAGTAAGAAAGGATTTCTCAGTGAGCTTGCTCTTTAAATATCAGACCCATTGCATTGAGGTCTTTGGATGTGGAGCAGCTAAGTCACTCACCTCCCTCATGACAGGAGGCGGGGTGAGCCAGCAGTCCTTCTCCAGGACCGTTTTGGGAAGGGTTTCCTTCAGCCGTGTGAGGTAGCTCTGCCTCACATAGGCCAGGTATTCACTGTTGTCGATGCAGGCTGGTTGATTTCTGGTCATGAAACCTTTAATGAACCTGACACAAGTCCTTGCTGGTCACCTTCAGGCCTTCATCATTACAGACATGGTTTCTATCACACTGACCTCTTGATGACCTTCACAGCCCAAGCTCTCCTCTCACGCTCCTTCCTCGCCATCAGACCTCTCCAACAGGTCTCGATCTTTGTGGCTGTTTTAATGGATCCAGACAGTTTAATTAAATTTCATATTTGTCCTTGAACTCAGTTGTATTAAAAATATATTTATAATCACGCCTCACCGGCCTCTTTCTGTTTCAGGTAGTCCTCTTTCACCCTGTAGCCTTTGTATTTGGCCTGAATCCTTGTTGCTATAAGCACAGATAGGAATTTTATTCTATATATTTGTCCTGCAGCTGAAGTCACTGAGCCTCATCTCACCTAGCTTATGTTTGCAGATCTGAAAGGCATCCTCTGTGGCAAACAGAGTTCTCGGGTGGCGGATGAAAATCTTTGTCCTTGCGATAAAAAGAACTCGGGTAAAATAAAAATAGTAAGTTTAACTTTACTTCCACATGAAGCTCCCTACCTTCCCATCTTGTACTCATCAGATTTGTAGCCCAGGTGTTTAACGAGGCACAGCACACCTTCTGCTGGAGTACCTTTCCAGTTTGGCCAGGTATCTGGACACAGAGCCTTGTACCTAAACACACAAAGGCAACATGATTTAAAAATGCAGGCCAAATAAAATAAAACATTTTGAGAGTAAAAATGACTTATTCAACTCACCTCTGGAGAAAGAGCTCATATTTGCGGCGATATGCAAAACCAGCTCGTCTGACTCTCAGGTGCTCCATCAGCCCAAGATATTTCACCTGATGTCTCACCAGCACATCATCGAATTGTCCTGCAGGACGCACCACAGCACTCCCGTCACGTTCAGGGAGACACACAGTCAGGTATGAGCTGCGGAGTTTAGAAGGTCTCACCTGACTGCTTGGACTCGTTGGGTTTGATGCAGCGGACGTACCAGGGTTCTTTGGACATCAGGATTTCAGTCAGTCCCGCCAAGCTGTTCTTAAACTGAGTCACCACCTCAGAAGAATATATGAAATGTGTGAGTAATTATGTATTTTTCACGAAGGAGGTGTTATGATCTGAGTTGTTCCTTACAGTTTCAGGTCTCTTTTTGCTTTCTGGTTCAGAAGAGGGGAAGCAGTTTTTGATGATGCCATTCTTGGACTGTCTCATGACCTTTTAGAGGAACAGAGAAGTTGTGAGTGAGTCCATCCAGGTCAGATATACCTGTACATTACAGTTCCTGATGCTGATGAAATGAAGGAGTCACAGAAGCAGAGAGGGATTTTAAACACATCAGGGACATGGGTTTGTTTGGAAAAGCTTCTGTTATTGTGAATTTTTTCCTGGAGCATTTAAAACATGCACACAAAAACTTGTAAACTACTTGTGATTAGTGTTTCTGTGGTGTGCTTTAGTGATGGGTTGTGGTAAAACTGAAATCCATCTCTGAAATTTTCAGCATGACTTGAAATTATTACATTAAGAACTAAAACTGTGACTCTAAAGCTTGCCGCACACGAGAGCAGACTGCTGAGCAAACGGCCTTGAATGACCGTTTGCTCAGCAAATACTTCGCTGTGTGCGCCTAATTTTCACTGAGTCTTCCAGCTTCATGCTGAGGAATATCTGACCAGTTTGATATTTTCCACCTCACGGGGGGTAAAAACTTGCCATGTGCGCATTACGTTCCAAAAAGACCTGATAGGTCTCTTTCTTCAGCTTGACAGCATCCCTAACTGCCAGTGTCCACCAGCGGGTCCGGGGGTTGCCGCTACGACAGCCACCAACGACTCTGTAGCCACAGCTCTGGTCAACCACCTAAACAATGAAGGCACAGAACAGGGCCCATTTGGACTCAATGTTCCCCGCCTCCCCGGAATATTTTGTAAGTTCTGTTGGAGGTGGGAATTGAACCTCCTTCTGACAGGACGTTCCCAGTAGACCCTCACTATACGTTTGGCCCTGCTAGGTCTGACCAGCGTCCTCCCCCACCATCTGATCCAACTCACCACCAGGTAGTGGTCAGTTGACAGCTCCACCCCTCTCTTCACCTGAGTGTCCAAGACATGCGGCTGCAGATCAGACGAAACAACAACAAAGTCGATCATCGAGCTACGGCCTAAGGTATCCTGGTGCCAAGAGAACATATGGACACCTTTATGTCTGAACATGGTGTTCATTATGGACAATCAATAACGAGCACAGAAGTCCAATAACGAAACACAGCACCAATTCAAATCAGAAGGGCGATTCCTCCCAACCACACCTCTCCAGGTCTCACTGAGTCCATGTGAGCGTTAAAGTCACCCACCAGAACAAGGGAGTCACCAGAAGGAGCGCTCTCCAACCAACACTCCATCCAAGGTCGCCAAAAAAGGATGGGTAGAGTGAACTGCAGTTTGGTGCACAAGCACAGACAACAGTCAGCGCTCGTCCCCTCGCTCGTAGGCAGAGGGAGGCTACTGAGATCCGCCCAAACCAAGAGGTAAAGAAGAAACCAAAGATCACTGTGGCTGATCAGAGAGCTATCAGGAGATGGGAGAAAGTGGTAGAAGGTCAATCATCACTGCAGCATTCCACCAGTCAGGGCTTTATGGCAGAGGGGCCTGTCGGAAGACTCTCCTCAGTGCAAGACACATGAAAGCCTGCATGGAGTTTGCTAAAAGAAACCCGAGGAACCCAAAGATAGTGAGAAAGAAGATTATCTGGTCTAACTTGACCAAGATAGGACTGTTTGGCATTAATTCTAAGCAGTATGTGTGGAGAAAACAGGGCGCTGCTCATCACTTGCCCAATACAGTCCCCACAGTGAAGCATGGCGGTGGCAGCATCATGCTGTGGGGGGGATTTTCAGCTGCAAAGACAAGATGACTGGTTACAATCGAGGGAATGATGAATGTGGCCATTTACAGGGAAATCCTGGAAAAGAACCTTCTCCAGAGTGCTCAGGACCTCAGACTGGGCTGAAGGTTTACCTTCCTGCATGACAATGACTCTAAAGCACACAGCTAAAATAACAAAGGAGTGGCTTCACAGCAACTCTGTGACTGTTCTTGAATGGCCCAGCTAGAGCCCTGACCTAACCCCAAGTATCTATGGAGCAGAGGTGTGATCAAGTCACTGCTTTGCAAGTCACAAGTAAGTCACAAGTCTTTCCAGTCAAGTCCAAGTCAAGGACAACCAAGTCCAAGTCAAGGACAACCAAGTCCAAGTCAAGGACAACCAAGTCCAAGTCAAGTCTAAACTCAATGATCTGGAAGTCGAAGTCAAGTCAAAGTCCATAACTTTGAATTTTCAAGTCATAATCAAGTCATCTGTCCAACTTCAATTTAATGACAATGATAATAAATAACATCCAGAAATAAAGCTTCTTAAAGCTTCATTTGTTTGCTCAAACAAGCAGAAAGTGCAACTAAACTTGATTATAAACAAAGTGCTGATGCATTTAGCAGTACAAGATAAACCCAGAATGAAGAACGATTTATGATTTTTGTCCATGTCGTGCCACTTTTGTGCTAAAATATCAAATATGCTCAAGTCATCATCAAGTCAATAGATGCAAGTCGATTCAAGTCACACGTCATTGGCGTTCAAGTCCAAGTCAAGTTGTCAGTCTTTATAGATTTTATCAAGTCAAGTCAGAAGTAACTAAAATAATGACTCGAGTCTGACTCAAGACCAAGTCATGTGACTCGAGTCCACGCCTCTGCTCTGGAGAGACCTAAATATGGCTGTCGACCATCGTTCACCATCCAACCTGACAGAACTGGAGAGGATCTGCAAGGAGGAATGGTAGAGGATCCCCAAATCCAGGTGTAAGAAGCTTGCTGCTGTCAGGATCTGCTCCAACCCCTCTGACTCTTGGTCTCGTTTACCCCTAATTAGTCGATTATTGGACTCGCCTGCCCCTTGTTATCCTACCCATGTGTTTCTGATTATCCGTGTGTATTTATACCCCGTTATGCACTTATCCTTTGTCAGATTGTTGTTGGGTTTTCACCCTGTTACGGTGCTCCTGTTGTATCATCCTACCTGCTATCATTCATTAAATCCTTTTTTTTACCTGATCTGGCATTTCTGCATCCTGGTCCAGCTCCACCACACATGGGTCCACCACCATCTACACTGCACCATGACAGTTGCATCTTTACCAAGAAGACTCATGGCTGTATTAGCTCAAAGGGGTGTTTCTACTAAGTACTGAGCAAAGGGTCTGAATACTTATGAACATGTGATATTTCAATTTTCTGTTTTTGATAAATCTGCAGAAATTTCTACAATTCTGTGTTTTTCTGTCAATGGTGGGTGCTGTGTACATTAATGGAAAAAATGGAGGGAAAAATCATTCAACTGATTATAGCAGATGGCTCCAATATAACAAAGAGTCAAAAATTGACAGGGGTCTGAAAACTTTCCATACCCGCTGTATGTAGAATAATTTGCATCCATCTATATGTACAAAACCAAACTTTCAGTTCAGCTGTGTTTGATTTTACAAGAACATTAGAAATGGACAGATGTGTGTACTCGAGTCACGTGATTTGGACTCGAGTCGGACTTGAGTCATTATTTTAATGACTTCTGACTTGACTTGATAAAATCTATAAAGACTTACGACTTGACTCGGACTTGAACGCCAATGACTTGTGACTTGAATCGACTTGCATCTGTTGACTTGATGATGATTTGAACATATTTGATATTTTAGCACAAAAGTGGCACAACATGGACAAAACTCATAAATCAAATTCTTCGTTCTGGGTTTGATCTTGTTCTGCTAAATGCATCAGAACTTTGTTTATAATCAGTTTCAGTTGCACTTTCTGCTTGTTTGAGCAAATAAATGAAGCTTTAAGAAGCTTTATTTCTGGATTTTATTTATTATCATTGTCATTAAATTGAAGTTGGACAGATGACTTGATTATGACTTGAAAATTCAAAGTTAAGGACTTGGACTTGACATGGACTTCCAGATCATTGACTTTGGACTCAACTTGGACTTGGTTGTGTTTGACTTGCACTTGACTCAAGACTTGACTGGAAAGACTTGTGACTTACTTGTGACTCGCAAAGCAGTGACTTGGTCACCTCTGGAAATGGATTAGGTACAGTAAATACAGCTCATGCATCGATGTACATAGAAATATGTTATTTCTCACTTAGAAGTCTTAGAATCAAACTTTTAAATCACCTCTTTTCCATTTCGATACAACAGATCATTGTTTTTGTCCAAGAATCCTGAATAAAAAACATCTTCATTAAATATTGTATAGAAATTTAATTTTCACATCTCACAAGTTTAGTAGCTGTCTTACCGACAACACAGTATGTAACCTCTCCAGCGTAGTGCAACAGGCGGAAGTCTCCTCTGTCCAGGCTCTTTCTTGTTTCTTTGCCCGCAAGTTTATGTCTAAAGCAGAACATTATGTTATATTTTCTACTATTTCTGATGGTGGGTTCTTCTGATCCCCCCCCCCCCCCCCCCCCCCCCCCACTGCTCCTCAGGAAAACCTTTTCCTACCCTCCAGCCTGACAACCGACACCCAGGTTGAGTCCATCCTCTCGCTCCCTTTGAAGTGGATCTTCCTTCCCCAAGTTAGTCTGATTTCTGTTTTGTGTTTCCTGGGAACCTAAAGTGTAAACACTCACGTGACAAAATGAGGATGGCCACCAATTTTTTCCTCCATCTTTTCCAGAAAGGTAAGATCTGTGGCTTCACCGGGGCGCAAACATTCCTCATCCTACAAGGATGAAATCATCAGCTATCCAAGCATCATCTTTCCATTGGATCATTGATTTAAATCCTAACCAACAAAGAGATGATTCCTCTGTGTTTTTCTTCCACAAGATCACAGATGATCTTGTTGTTGAAATATGGCACTGGTTCCCACTATTGATAAAATAAAAATGAGAGTGACTACAGTGGTTCATATGTCATTGTTCACAAATACAACAGGTTAGAGTGTGTTATTACTTCAATCCCTTCCATTTCGTACTCCTCCTGCTCTGATTTGAGGGTCAGCTGGATGAAAAGCTGCTGCAGCTTTTCGTTGCAGTAGTTGATGCAAAACTGTTCAAAGCTGAAACACACATGAAGATCTCAGCTTTATATCTCGGAGAATTGAAATTTAAAAGTGTAACATCTCACCTGTTCACGTTAAAAACCTCAAACCCATAGATGTCCAGTAATCCGATTACTGTCTTCCTGGAGGAATCCTACATTTAACACAGAGATTTAAAGGAGGCAAGCATTCATTATTTTAATAAATTTGCTGTGGTCTCTACAATGAATGAATGCATTGTGTCATTTTCTGTGGGGGGGACAAAAAGCTCTGGCGCTCTTGTTTCAGGAGGAGTGGAGGGAAGAAAAAGGCAGGATTTGGAGTCTCACTCATTAATATTCATGATTTTCAAAAATCTTGCCTCTGATTGGCCAAAAGCAACACATGGACATCAGCATGAGTTGCAGCAGATGGCCGCTAATACTGGGCCAGGTTCTGTTGGAGGTTTTTTTCTTGATAAAAGGGCTTTTTCCTCTCCACTGTTGCTACATGCTTGCTTAGTACAGGGTTTGCTTTAAAGTTACTGACACAACAAGTCAGTGACTCAATGCAATCTGCTTGGTTTCCTTAAGCCTGGACCACACTGTTTTTGGCTGTCACACTACTGCTCATGTCACACTGTGAGAACTCTAGAGAAGTGGCACAGATTTGTCTAGGACGGCCAAAGAACTCAATGTAATGTGGGCTTCAAATAGGAAACTACCGGTAATTGGTATAATGAACTGAATTCAATTGGAATCTTTACTTTGTGAAGTGGCTTGAGGTGACTTTTGTTGTTATTTGGTGCTAAATAAATAAACTGAATCGAACTGAAACTCTTCCACAGACTCTGGATCAGTTTTATCTAAACAAATAACACAAGCCTGAAGGAATTCTGCCTTGTGGTGGAGTTGCTAATGCTACTGGTTAGCTTCTACTAGTCACGACACTCTCTACTCTCTCCTGGCTGCAAAAATTAACAGAGCCTTCCCTGTTACACCCAAGATGGGTGAGTCCACGAATGCTCAACAGTGTGACACACGTCTATTTTCAGCAGCTGGTGTAAGGGGTAGAAGATTACTTTCGCTTGCAGCCTGCATGTGAAACTCAGAGTGATCAGTTGTATTCCAAAACGAACAAGTATTACATGAATTATATGTTTCTCAGTGAACCTTAGCTTTAAGGATTTAGGTTTTAGGATAAAATGATTGCTCACCTTGTTAGCCAATGATTCATTTATCTTATTGACCACCCAGTTGAAAGTACGTCCATAGATGGCTTTGGCAAGGGCGTCCCTGGCATACACTGCATGGTCCACAGAGAAGGGACTGAGCACCTTTAACATCAGAACAATGTAGTCCTTTTATTTCAAATCAGCAGCAAATACAAAGTTCAATGATTTTGGAGGTTTGGATGTTTCACCTCCTCTGATTTGGCTTCTATCTTTCTGTGAGTTAAGCCCTGTTGTAGCACCTGATTAGGAATCCCCAACAACTGCACGACCAGCACAAGGAATGAACAGAAATGTTAATTCGGAAGCTGCTGTGTTTGGACAAAGTTAAGTCTGACTGAGTTTCACCTTTGACACCCAGTGCATCTCCTGGTTGTTGTTGAGAGTGGCGTATCCTCGAGCATCGGCTTCAAACTTTATGTTCCCCATGTGCAGTACGCTGGCAATTATTCCAAATAAATTCTGCATTGAGTCAAGAGAAATAAATATCGATGAATCAAAATGACCATTATGCATGATTAGAATTAAGATTGAAATGGTTCCTCACCTCTGTTTCACTTTCACTGAACTCTATAACAGAGAGGGCCTTCCTCACCGTCTTCCAGTCACGTTTATCGTTGATGGAGCTAACTTTGGCACAATCCCCCTAAAACGAGGCAAAATCCTCTAAATAAGGAGTTAATTGATAAACTCATCGGATCTGAGGACTTGTGTTCGCCTGACTTGCACTAGGTAGCAGTAGTTCTTGCAGTTTCTCTCCAGGCCGAGCCAGCGGAGAAGCTCTTCCTCTCCTCCTTCCACCAGCTGGTAGAAGATGTGGAAGTTTCTCTCGCCATGGTTCTGATGGACAACACGGGATTTCTCCAGCAGGTAACTGAGGATGTGGCCACCAACAGCTCCACTCTGGATCCACAATCACACTGTTTTACAACACATACACATATATGTACATTTGCTGTTTAAGAGTCACGTTCCTACCTGGTGGTCAAACTGGATATCCATGTATTTCCCAAAGCGGCTCGAGTTATCATTCTTCAGGGTTTTGGCATTTCCAAAAGCCTGGAGGTTCAACAAAAAATGCAAGTAAAATACCTGATTTCAAATTAAATATATAGCCTTAATCCAGAGCTAAACTGTCACTAACTTCAAGCACTGGATTAGAGAGTAGCAGCCTGTCCCGGACGTTGTTTAATACTTTGGTGCTCGGGCAGCTGACAGCGTAGAACTGGAGGATTTTCTTGGAGGCTTCGGTCTTTCCAGCCCCACTTTCCCCAGAGATCAGGATGAAATGGTTGTTGAACTCAGATTTCATGGTGCGGAAGACGTTATCTGCCAAAGCGTAGCTATGTTTACAAGTTAAAAGAAGAGAGAAAATTTCAGTCATTTGCAAAACACTTTTTTCTTTTCCACAATCAATCGTCTTTGTGTTGGAGAAAGGGTGGCCAGCAAACAAAGGTTTTGGGGTTTGTTTACTAAAGTTCTTCCATTGAAACGTTTCACATGAATTATTTCTCACTCCAACATTTTAACTGAAAAGTTTTATTCTTCCCTTTTAAACAAATTAGATTCAGGTTTTGGATACAGTGGTGCCCCCAAGGGGTGGTCAGGGGTGAACGTTATTAAAGTCAATACATTTTAATTTATTTATTTATTCTTTGTTTAACCAGGAAGGTCCCATTGAGATTAAAAACCTCCTTTTCAAGAGAGTCCTGGCCAAAAGGCAGCAAAAGTTACAGTTAAAAAATTTTCAGTTACACACACATGTTATGTACAAAGTTACCGAAGGCAGTTACAACACAGGGAATCTGTCTCAAGGGTTCTTAGTCTTGTTTTAAATGTGTTCAAGGAGATAAACTCGGTTAATTTCCAGGTTTCCTGCAGCCTTTTCCATGCAGAAGGAGCAAAGTGAATGAAAGCCCTTTTGCCCAGTTTGGTGTGCCGCCCCAAAATATTCACTGGCACCCCATGGGAAAATTTTCTAGGGGCACCACTGTTTGGATAAACAACGTTTGTTTACACTGTCCTTCTATAAACATCATAGCTGAAACCATGTTTTGTCATTTAAATGAAAGACTTTACTCTGAGGATCATACGTTTTCATAACTCTCCAATGTTCTTTCCTGTTGGATAGAAAATCCATAAACCTTCCCAAACTGATTTGCTTGCACATATTAAAGCAAACTCACATGTGAGGTGGAAGCTCGAATAAGTTAACTCCCATGTAGGTGTCCATTTGCTTCTTGCTGTAGATGTCTAACTCTTTATACGGGTTCACCGACACCAGCAGAGTCCCAATGTAGGTCTTTGAAGATAAGACAAGGACATGAAGTCATGCTCTGCTGCTGGTGCACATTTGGTGACAAGCACAACTTTTCTTGATGCATAAAGGGCATGAAATGATATTCATGCATCATTCTTCTCCTTATATTTAGTTTTGTCCTCTATCAACAGCAATAAGTTAAGTTAATCACTTGTCATGGGGCAGCAACCTTGTGAGTACTCGCTCTGCAGACAGCTGCTATCTCAGCAACACAAGGTGCCACATTCAGCAGAAGTCGTATTGGGACATGAAAGGCTGAAGGTTGAGGGTGAAGACTGAGGATGGAGACGAAAACCAACACAGCAAAGGAAAAACACAGGAAACGACTCACGTAAATGAGATTCTCATGGAAGCGTTTCCTCAGGTTGTCCAGGAAGGCTCTCTCACTGGTGTAGGCGTCCAGGAGGACAAAGTCCTGGATGCCCACACGATCCCGAGCTGTCAGGGAGGCTTCCATGTTCCTCAGGATCCGGTTGCACCTCTCCTCCAGGCTCTTTGATGGACACATCAGATACCGCAAACAAAATGACAGAAACAGGGAAAAGTATGGATTTTATTCACAAATGTAAAAATACAAATCACAAAAAAAAGGAATGCACAGCAATTGTGTTTATATTTTTCTCTTTTATCTGTGTGACATTCAGGCAAATCTCTCTTTTTACATATATATATATACAATTATTGTAGTAATAATTTATTATAATTTTTTTAATCTTTTTTTTTCATGCCATTTATGCTGAAGGACACACTCGCATACATGCTAACAAGCCTGGTGAAATATGTCTCCCCGTGGGCGTCTCACAGCCTGTCTGTTTGGGCTCATATCTGTGAATTCCTGTTAGTGGCCTTGGCTGCATCCTTTGTGCTCATGTCAAATCTAAATTCAGCCTTCGCTATCTTATCCGCCCTCTACAGAGATGTCACCCTTGTTTACGACAAGCCCAAGTACCTCATCAGCGTTCAAAACATGTTACTGCTGAGTTAAGAGCAGGCCTCATTTGCACCTAAGACTAAAGCTGTGTTGTTCATAATTAAATGCATAAACACAGGAGCTACTTAATGCACAACAGAATTTCTGCCAGGTAATAATCAGTAATCCGTTACACTTTAATTACGGCACTATGAAGGAGCCATCCGGCATCACGTTTCAGTTTGGTGTTCATCACTGCTGAGTCAGAATAACTGTGACCGACAGCTGTTGACCCAGCATATCAGAGCAACGTCTTGTAATCACATACAACTACAATAAATAATTTATGTACTGATGAAAACTGCATGGAGAGAAATGATTATTAAAATGCTCCAAAAGGTTTCAAACTTACCTGGAGGATCTTTAGTGTCTGACTGAGCTGCTGAAATGATTTTTTTCTTCAGAGCCAAACTGAACATCTGCTTATATTGAAGGGAACACAGGAAACACTGATAGACTGCAGCCCCAGCTTCCTTCAATAGGAAGCTATAAATCATGTAGTGAGTGAGTAACATAGGATGTTGGATATATTTCTGAAGGCCAAAGTTGTTCTGGTAAATGAAATGTCTGTTAATCTTATGAGCTAATTTCAGGTTAATTAATTAAAATGGAAAATGCCAACAGCAGACAAAGATGGTAACATGGGAAAAGACACTCTATCCCCTAGGAATGGGATTTCTGTCTGGATCATGGGATTCCGTATTACAAGTTCACTTAAGAAGTGTTTATGTGTAGGAAATGTGCTTTATAATTGTTATTATTATTATTATTATTATTATTATTATTATTGTTGTTGTTGTTATTATTAGTATTATTATTGTTGTTGTTGTTGTTGTTATTGTTATTATTGGGATTAAAGATACAGAGTTCTTTTGGCGAGACCTCATATTACTTTTCTGTAGTTGTCATTCCTTCTATGTGCTCTGCCATCTTTTTCCAAACAGACATTTAATTTTGTATTTTTTATTTTATTTATTCAATGTGTCTAAATTCAATTTTTTAAAATTTGAATACTTTGAATAGTTAAAATATTTCTGCCACATGTTTTCTTGTTTTTTACTCCTTACATTTACCCTCCTTTCTTTCGTTCTTTTTTTTACCTGTTTGTAGCATTTGGCTACAAACAGGTAAACAAAACTGTTTCTGTGTTTAAAAAAGAACAAAAGAATGGATTTAGAAAGACACAGCAAGAACACACCTAAGATTTACCCTCCTGTCGGTATTTAGATTCGATTTTTTTAGCAGCTGGGAGACCAAATATTTCCCCTCAGAGGGACCATTTAGGGCTATTCTATTCTATTGTTACAGGGTTTTGAGTCTGATCTATGAGTTAATGTGTATAAAATCTTTTTAAAATCTTGCAAAATAATTTCAGTATTTCAGAAAGAAAGAAAGAAAGAAAGAAAGAAAGAAAGAAAGAAAGAAAGAAAGAAAGAAAGAAACTCTAAATTTTCTAACATAGTTTAGTTTATAATTATTTCTCTGTGTATTTTACGCGTTTGGTAAAGATTTAAAAGCTTATTTTTAAAGGGGTATTCCAAACACTAATGAAAGACGTATTTCCACCTGTCCATCCATCCTTTCATCTATTCTCTTCCACTTATCCGGGGTCGGGTTGCGGAGGCAGCAGCCTAAAGCCTGATTCATGCTTCTCCGTCTGAGTCAGTGCGCAGACACGCAACGTCCTTGCGGGTCTGCTGGAGAGCTCCGCAAGGACGGAAGCTCTCTTTTCTAAACATCCGTCAGTCGAGACGGACAACGCAAGCTTGTGATTGGTCAGGATGCCGCTGTCGTCTACACCGCCTCCATTGCGCCCTCAAAAACATAAAGAGAGCCGAGGATAACTAGCGGCAGACATGGAGCAGCTTGAAGAATACCTCGCGAAAAAACTCTAAAAACATGAACGTTTAATTCGCCGTGACTGGAAGAGTGAAAAGATGCGCAGCAAGCGTTTTATTTGTGGATGGAAATGACAGGAAACGAGGGTTTAGAGGTGGTGAGCGCATGAAGAGGTGGAGGAGAATGAGAGACAAATTTGCTTGTGTTAAAAAGTCTCTTACAAACAAAAAAAACACAATATAAACACTCTATCTTGGACCGGATACATGACAGGATACCACAGAACAGCGCTACGCCCTCTGTGGTCCTGCCGGGGAATTGCTTTGCAACACTCTCCAGGAGACGAAGAAGTATGAGAGCAAAAAGCTTCCATCAATCCGTGCGTGTCTGTCCCTTGCGGAGCTGACGGAGAAGCATAAACCAGGCTTAAGCTGGGAGGCCCAGACCTCCCTCTCCCCAGCCACTTGGACCAGCTCTTCTGGGGAATCCCAAGGCGTTCCCTGGACAGCCGAGAGACATAGTCCCTCCAGCGTCTCCTGGCTCTTCATTTAGGTCTCCTCCTGGTTGGACATGCCCAGAAAACCTCACCAGAGAAGCATCGAAAAGGCATCTCAATCAGATACCCTAGCCACCTCAACTGGCTCCTCTCCTTGTGGAGGAGCAGCGGGTCTACCCCAAGCCCCTCCCAAATGACCAAGCTTCTCACCCTATTTCAGACCAGACACCCTGCAGAGAAATCTCATTTCGGCCACTTGTAACCGTGATCTCATTCTTTCGGTCACTACCCAAAGCTCGTGACGATAGGTGAGTGTAGGAACGTAGATTGCAGGTTGACCGGCTCAGCTCTCTTCACAGACCGGTACAACGAATGCATCAATGCAGACGCAGCACCAATCTGCCATATTCTTACTCATAAAATGTTAAAAAAAAAAAAACATTAAATGACTCAGTGATTTTCTCATTAAAATCTTTTTTGGACCTTTCCTATGTTTCAATAAAACACTTGTCAAAAATAAGACGTATAAACTGGAGGTCTGTTAAAGAAAATCAAGCCTGTTTTAGACACATGGTGCTAATTTATGTGTTTGAATTATCAAGTGTCATCAGGAGCAGGAAAGAAGGTGTGCCGTTCAAAAGAAATGCAACCTCTGACAAACACACAGCCGACAGAAGGAAAAAATCAACGTTACAGTAAAATTAGCTCATTTACTGAAGCTACACGTCACAAAGGAAGGGATTTGCCTTGTTTTCAATAGCTTGTATCAATAAATCACTAAGCTGAACCAAACAGTGATGTAGGTTAAGTTAAGTCTATGTGAGCAGGACAAGATCATCTGAGAGGACACCCCATTGTCCCTGTTGATCCAGTATGGTGGTGGATCTTGTTACACAGCCACAGAGTGGCTGTAGGAGCCTGAAAGAGATAGCACTGACTGACACCACTCATCTCCCAGGGCAACACACATTTAGGGGAGCTCCAGGAGCCTGGAGAAACCTGACCTTCTACAGGTTGGTTCTGTTCAACTTGCAGCAAGTTCTGCGCTCAGACGTTCTGCAAAATAAAGACTGGACGTGTTTCTGATGGGTCTTGAACTGGATCTGTCTGGACGAGCAGATATTTCTCTTTGGATCAGAGGATTTTTGTGTTATAGTTAGCAACAAACAGGGTCAGCCAAGTGAGCCCAAAGAGGAGGAAAATTAACAAATAGTTTGATATTCAGCATTTGTGTAGATTTAGGCCAGATTTCTTCTTCTTCTTCTTCTTCTTCTTCTTCTTCTTCTTCTTCTTCTTCTTCTTCTTCTTCTTCTAGGCTTTTGTGCATTTTAATTCCTTTTCAGGGATCTAAAGGGTTGAACTGTTTTTGAGACCGATGTATAGAAACTAAATGTAACAAGTGTTATAAACAGCATTTTCAGTCACTCTTTGACTCAAAGGATTTTCACTCGTGTTTATTAGAACTTCTGAAAAACACCAGGAATATAATTTCACACACTTAAATTGTGTTTCAGCACCAAATTATTTCAAAACTGCTGAATAGAAAAAAGTAGAATTTTACACAAAGGGTCCCTTTATTAACGTTACTTAGTGCATTATTAAACATTAATAAACTATCAAATAAAGTATTAACAACAGATTAATAATAATAATGTTAATATTAAGTTATGCATTACTAAGCAGACATTCCCCTGACCCTTTGTCCTAACCTTAAGGACACTAAACAGTTAAAAATATAATGAATGGTAACAAAGGGTTCCTTTGGTTAATAATGCTTAATAGTGCACTAAGTAATGTAAAATGTTGCAAAGTAAAGAAAAGAAGGACGATGCATTTGTTGGGCTCGTTTCAAATGGTGGAGTTCGTTTTTCTTTCTGAACATTTTTAAAAGTTGTTTTTCTGCTGCAGGTAGCAGTTTTTAGACCTTTTACCATTTCTTCTTCCTCCACTGTTCATTTTGCTCATAGCTCTAAGCTCAAACTGCCCAATGTGCAAGATTATTTAAAAATATTTCACACATCTCAAAAAGCTTTAAATAATATGTGACACATGGAAAAACATAACTTAGTCATGCCAGAAACATGGCTCGATGCAAATAAAATAAAAATGTGTCGAGTACACATGATAATCTACAAACTCTGTTCATTTCATTTACCTTTTGTACCTCTACATTCCTGTGTGCCATGCTTGGATGTGATGAAACCGATAAATCCAGACGATTATGTTTCTCTTCACCCAGCTTTAGTATCCAAGGACGTTCTCCATTGTGAAGTCTCTTCAAGTCAGTGCTGGAAGTTCACCATTGATCACTTGTCTCTGTAGTTCTTTTCTCAGACACTGAATATGGCCTCAGAGCAGATCTGGTAGCACAACCCAGGAGCAAGAGGTTAAAGATGAGGAGGATAGAAGTGCTGCTTCCTGTCAGAGCGGCGCTCCTTCATCGTCAGAGAGGATGCAGGAGTGAGCTACCTGGTTCTGGAAGCTCTGAGCTGCTTAAACATTTATGGAGCCCAAGCAACAGACATTCATTCAGATCTACATCTGAGTGTTGAATGGTGTGTTTAAGGAAAATCGTGTGTGTGTGTGTGTGCGTGCGTGCGTGCGTGCGTGCGTGCGTGCCTGCGTGCGTGCGTGTGTGTGTGTGTGTGTGTGTGTGTGTGTGTGTGTGTGTGTGTGTGTGTGTGTGTGTGTGTGTTTGCAGGTATGTAACACAAGGATGATGTAACCTAATCCACCCAGAGACCCACTCTGCACCCTCCTTCCTGCAAAATTACAGTACAGGTATTTGGTTACTGATGTTTGATTAGGGAGGTGCATTTCTAAATAATTACCTGTGTTGCAGCCAGGAAGGACCAAATAAACTACTTAAATGTTTACATTAAAAAAATCTGAATTATTTTACATTTACATTGGGATTAAAGGGGTATTTAAATAAAGAAATTAAGAGGGCTTTTTTGTCCGACATTCTTTTTTTGTGCAGTGATGACAGAATTAGTTAATTGAAATCAGAAACAGTGGAAGTCCCTTCATCCGATTTCACCCAATGTGCGATGTCATCAGTTGAGGTTAGGTCAGATGCTTTGACCTTTTCTGTTTCATGT